TTTGTGTTGTTATTTGGCCTCCATTGTTAGATAGTTATGTAATAAAATTGAAATAAACAATTGTGAAAATTATGGCATTTGTTATTTCAGAGGTCAAGAGAAAAAGAAATGCCCGGTGAGGATATTTTTTTTTTAACATTTATCAATTTACTTTGCAACAAACAAATAATTCTTGAAAGATTAATTCAAGTCTTAAAACTTCCATTTCAAATGAATACTCACACATACTCTTGAATAATCTTTGACAAGACACTTAACCACTTACTTAGAATTACTTTATTAAGATTTTTATATCCACAGGTTACTAACAAACTCGTTGACACAATTAAAGTAGGAACATTTCAATTTATTCTCAAATATGGTCTACATTTAAACCAAGAAGGTGAGTGCTAGTTTTACAACAGAATGTTAACTTACTTAAACCACAACTGTAAAACTTGATTAAGATTTAAACGTTTGTAAAATTACATATATATGCATAATAAATAATATACTATTCAATAAATAATTACTCTGCAACCACAAGACAAAAACATAATTTACATGATCAGTTTAGACAAAATGTTTTTCACAACACATCTGTTCCTTGATGTTTCAATAAAATACCTTTTTTTAAACACTGACAACTACATGAGTTTACTGTTGATATCACAGATGGTGAAGATCTGCATGTACCCAAAAGACCACCTCCTTCAACTGGAGATTTGGTTAAGTGCCAACTGGAAAATTATATATTCTTTTCTTCCATAATGCTATGATTCCACAAAATGTCATGCATCTGTAAACAATTACCAGTAAGTCTATCCTCTCTTTAAGATATTGGAAAAGTGACACCACAGCCTCCTTTAAACACAATTTCACCGTTAAGCTCTGTGCAGTGAAGTTGTGTTAGGTTGGCACACTGTTTTCCTTTACCTAATTTAAAAAGAATACCTTTTTTTCAAATTGACAACTATTAGATAATGTTTACTGTTTATACAAAACATGAAGAAGATCTACCTGAAGGACCACCCCACGCAGGCAGTGATTTGGGTAAATGTCAACTGTAAAGTAATATTTTCTTTTCTTCTATAATGCTATGATTCCACAAAATGTTGCACCTGTAAACAATGAATAGTCTCTCCCCTCTGTACCAAGTTGCAAAAGTGACACCATACCTTCCTGAAGTACAATTTTCCTGTTAAATTCTTAGCAATACAAAATGATATTTTCCTTTGGCCATTTCCAATAAAGCAGATGTTCATAATTTTGCAATGTTACCATCACTTGGTTCAGTGTTGTCACTTCAACAAAATGTTTTCTTACTAATTCAATAAGAGAATTTGTGCAGTATTTTTAATAAACTTGTTCAAACTAAGGATTCTTTTCTCATAAAATAGATGTGGACAAGAAAAATAATAAAAAAAGAAGGGGTGGAAGAAATGAAATAGTAAAGTAAAGTAAGTTGTAACCTAACAACAGCTGCCATTACAACAAACTTGGCTAACATTTGCTTTAAATGTCATTTTTCACAATATTAAGAAAATCTTAAATTTGTCATGCTCATGCAAACTAAATTACATTTTAGAAACAATATGGGGCCCAAGAAATATTTTTCAATTTGTAACAAATAGACATTATAACATAGAAAGTATACACAAATTCCTTCTATTGCATCAAAATTTAAATAAATAAATGGGAGAGCACAGTGAGCTTATGAGTTTTTTAATCAAAGCAAAAAGTGGATGAAAATTGTTCAAGCACTTTCCATGGTATGATGTTTTCATTTAAGACATACTGAGTGTGTTTCTTACTGTCCAACAGAGATTGGTTAGTTAACGACTGTGAAATTACATTGGTTGTTTAATTAGAGCCACAAATGACAGCATAGTGGCAGTGGCCAGGGCAGTGAACATGGTGGCCATGCCCACTACATCACCATAACTTTGAACTAAAAATATGAAAATGAAATCAACTGTCTCTCATTCATTTTATAAAATTAATGTCATTGTAACAGATGAATTCAGCTATAACTGCAAATAATAACTTCTTACTAAGCCTGAGGGCCATACAAGAGAACATTTTCCTGAGGCCCTTACAAAAATAACTGATGGCCAATATTCCTCAGTAGAACTTGAGCAAGCAAAGTTAGCAAGTGATTCATTATATTGCACTTGGACTGAACCCTTTTAATTCTAAGTTTGATACCTTTCAAAACAAAAATACATGGGTTGTGATCGTTTCAGTGGAAACGGTCTGCATGGAAAATTACTGAACAAGTAAGAACCAAATCAGTACTGGTATTTACCTCAAGACTACCTTGCCATAATAGTAATGCGAATTAAAGTTAATCTTCCTAACTGTGGTGGACATTCCACCACATAGGCTGATTTATGCATCGGTGCCACTGACTTGTAGGGTAGCGTTTGTATTACATTGTACTACCCAACAGCACCCCTCAAACCAGCTATCTCAGTTTCCACAATAACTTTGTTCCTTATTGAATTGTTGGAAGCCCTACAGCGAAAACATGGAACGATTACTAAAAGACAGTTCCAAGAATTGACATACAAATTAGTGTCGAAGGAAAATCATTTAAATAATAATTTTGCCATCGTTCAATAAGCGTTAGTAACAATAAAAAAAAAGGAGAGGCGAGAAAGGCTAACTGACCAAAGCAACGACAGGGATAATTTTCATACAACTCCTCGCTGACCAAGCTGCGAACTTCTTTCTACTTACCTCTACTGAATGAGTTAAAGTCGGTCGTAAAGACTTGCAAGAAAAACTCCACCCTACGAAAGGCTAGCTCAATATCTCCAATACAAAATAGAACTTTCACGGCTACTGGTAGGAGAAGTACAAAACGTTTACGTTTCACATGGAAAAAGTTGATATGAAGAATTCGTTAATCACGAACTTAGAGCTTTACAATCGCTAAGGTATTCTGGGAAAGCTACACGCAAGCTCTGATTGGAGCAATAAAGAGGTGTGACGGAGGTGTGTCCATAACCATGGTTACGAAATTGAACTTTCCAATATGGCAGAATACTGCAGGAGGGAAAATAGTTACTCGTGTATTTGCTTCGCCTGCAACTGATGGATAAACATATAATGCGGATATATTGCAAGAGCATCACATGGATAAACAGTTCTATCTCTGAAACGAAATTTATTGGCACCACAACGGTAAGTTAATAAAATATTCACAATTCTTTACCAAGTATTAACCCATCTAAACCAGGTTGCAAAATTTGAGACCTACTTCTCTTCCAAGTTTCTCAAAGCAAAGGAATATTGACATGTGTGGTTTTAGGAAATATTGAAGTCACCCCATGACAGTCAAGCTGTGAATGGTGTATACATTTATCCTTCTACACAGAGCAAGAATGAAAACCAAGGGCAAGGAGTTAGTTGAGATTAGCGATATATGCGACGAATTTTCCAGTTGCAGTCAATATCAATATCTGCTGGAACAACACAATTCAAACTTTATTGAGGTTAAAATAGAAAAAAAACTTTATTTTATTATATCGATCAAAAGTTACACAGTTTATAGGTCATGAATGAGAGTTAACAAAATAAGTACATTGGTTCTAAAACCCTTCATATATAGTGAAAGCCTAAAACTTACTGAAATACAATGCGGTTGCTGGCGCATACGTAATCAGAATACACTGTGATAAAATGATTAAGAGATTGCTAATGCAGGACTTGCTTTATGAAATGCCTGATACCAAAACCCAAAAAACACCCTGGGATAAAAATTGGGCACGTATTCCCCAACCAAATGCAGCAGCTCAAACTCTGGGGGTCAGAGGAGTAAATTACTGACCAAAATTGTGATCAGTACATTTTCAAAGATTTAGTATTAAGCTAAATACAGTACAACCATTGATTCTTGCAAAAAAATCCTTTACAACAACCGCACAATAATTACTGCTCCAATACATATATGTTATCGCTGACTGTAACCAATAAATCTAAACAGACTTTGTAAAGACATATTTTGCTAACTTCCATTTTAACAATGTTGTTGTCTCAAAGTAACACTGATAAGAAGATCTCAAGTATTTCAAACCACTCGATAATTCAATAACGTTTATATCTGATATATTGGTTTACTAATGCCTGAGTAACAGATAATGATATTATCATTTTTTAATGGGAGAAGGGGGGGGGGCAGTCATAGGAAAGCTTGAAAGTATCTATGGATTGTTTTTTAAGTAAATTTCATTATGGATATTACAGTAATAACATGCATTAAATTAAATTATTAAAGCTGACTTTCCGTGCTCATATAGAGTGACAGATGATGGGAAACTAAATGGAATCAATGTTGTTAAATTGAAGAAATTTACAAAGTTTCAGTGCAAAATACAGATTTCATTACAATCCATCATTACCTGAAACTACTTCAAAAATTATGTAAGATGAAAGTGGTGAGTTGTTAATGTCAGCCAAACTTTTGAAACAATCTTCCCTTCAAACAGGTATCACTAGGATTTGGAAATATAAAATGATTATAGGCATGCCCACATTTGTTCATAAAAATTACCCTTTACAAAAACATTTACTACTACACTAAAACAATCACAATTAATAGTGTCTTAAAAAATTTTTCTTAACATACTAGTTAGTGTTATTGTAGGATCATCATTTGACACTGATCCATTACCTACAGGAGGAATTTGGATTCAGCAAGATAAGCAAATGGAATAATTTAGGAAAGAACAATGCAGCACTAAATTTTAGTCTTTGAGGAATTGTTATCAGACTGTAAAAATGTATTAAACTTAACAATCTCATAATTTTTTCTTACTTTTTTCATTACTCAAATACATTTTTATGCATACAGAATGAATGTTTTTGGACACTGCACCACTACTTCCACTACCAGTGTATGCCATACTAATAATACATAATCATCTGATATCTTGGTGTTTTTTCTTCTTTCAAGTAGACAGTTAACACTTAATGCAGCTAGTATACCATGGATATATCAAATCCTTCTTTTTTTTTTCATTCCTAATGCACTAAGTGGTTAGAATCCATTCCAAAGTGTCTTGTTGCATCTTTACTTAAGTTTGTACATTTGAGCATATACCTGCCAGTATTGCCAACACCATGCTTCATTTTTGGTAAATCATTGTCTTTGGCTGAAGGAGTTTTATTCACAGACAGGAGCAGATTCTGTGATATAAAAGAATTTTTGACAAATGTTGATTTAAACCTGATCGAGCAGCCATAAAATTGCAACATCCAATCCATCCAAGCCTGCTATATAACATTAAGTCAACACCAACCCTAAGGTCACTCATGTAGTCTCATTTCAGAATGAATCTTGTAAACTTAACTCTATCCTGACGTGAATCCCAGGTTCTAGAACTGACCAAACAAACAAAGGATTTTCTCAATCCTTATTAAATTTTAGATAGAGAACAATGACTGATTCTTTGTTGTGTTCTGTTTAGGTTTGAATTTTCCTGGTGTTATGGCCATATCTTGTAAAAACATAAACATCCAAAGCCAATCTTAAAAAATCTGACATCTGAAGAATTATAAAAGCTACATGTATGATGAGGAGAATGTCATTGTTCACACTGCACACAAGCAATTTCAAAAATACGTGACTGCCAGTCCCAAACTGGATAAAAATTCTTATCTCAACACCAGGAGAGAAGCACTGGAAGGCATAACTTGGTTTAATCTTAGTATTTCCCTCTTGATTGCTGTGATCTGTTCCCTTCCATGTAATAAAGTTCAATGTCTCAACACTTTTAAACTTAATGATTCTAAACTGGTTAACTTTTAATTTGTTTGTGGCTATTAATGTTCCTGTTGTTTTCATTGATTTGTAATTGAAATAAGAAACTGCAAGAGAAAACGTTCTTAGTAAACAGCCATCTAACAGTGAAAATGTACATTTCCAATCATATTTGCATGTCTTTGCAACATCCATGACAATAAAATTATTAAAATTAATTTTAGACTATATAATTGAACTCCACAATCACAAGAGGAATACCTGAAAGAAAACTTACCTCATGCATTAGTTTTTGTGTTAATACTGTGGACTTTGAAGGGAATTATGGATTACAATAATAGTTGTTATTATATAAGTCAGATGGCACATCGTATTATGTATTAATATCTAAACACCTAGAAGTCATATATATGCTACAAGCTTTAGATCTGTTCATCTCCTAAATAACTTATTACATTATTTAAACATGTGGTTAAAAAGAATTAAGCTACCACATTCCTTTCTGTATGATGATGATATTATTAAGGCTTTCAATATTCAATGTTCCTTTTTGTAAATATTATTAAGACTGCAATGTATGTCTATCAAAAAAAACCATCACCAAAAAAACCCACAATAGGTATCTATTTGAAGCATTGTTACAATGACTGAAGCATAGGAATCTTAGATCAGTAGCACGATCCAGGGTGGCAAAGCATGTTTACGAAAACCATATTGAGCAAAAAAATATATATTTCAAACAAAACACTTTAAAACTTATATATCCTGTTAGATATAGTTAACCTCTTTGTATTAAACCAAAAATCGTGGTAATAGAGGAAGAATTTATTTTTTTATGGATTTTAGTATTCAGAAAAGTGAGGCGAATTCTTATGTAACGCGTAACATAATCTGACAAAGCATCAAACATATTCAAAAATTTCTTACTTAAAAATTTAAAATTTCAAAATAATTTTGACTTAGAAATACACTAGAAACATAGACTTTTCAATAAAATAGTTAAAATTGGAACACTGAATTGTAATATTCGCGCTACGAAACAATTTTCTCGGCGACCGAACATGTAACGCTGTTTATACAATATTGTACTATACTTCATAGTCACCAAGATTTTGTCGCAAAAAAAGCTCAAATCAGTTTAAAAAAATACATACAATAATTCTCAGATGATTTATTTTCTGTATACAAATTTTTATTCCATTTAATTCAAAGACAGCGTAAAAAATCCAAAAAGTCTGAATCGCGAACACATAAAATGCATAGAAAATTTACCTTAAAATTATTTATCCTCATCTCCAAAAAGGTCTGTGATAGCCGCGCTTAAAATGAAATTGCTCTTCAACTAGCAGATCTGTCATTCTCAAATTCTAAACTTTCTATCGGTACCAAATGTTCACGAATCTAACTCAATTTAACATCTAAATTTATGTCTTTTTTGAATCGCGAACATATTCGATCTTGGAACAGTATTGTTTGCATTGGTGTATCAGTTTACACGCGCAAAATAGTGGCAGTTTTAGAAATCTTCGCATCTAAACTTCGCTTCTTCCTCGCTTACAACAACCTTGTACAACATCTAGAGGGGGTATACAACAATTAATTGATATACACCCATGAACAAACGATCGTTTGAGACTGGAAATTACTAGAGAACGTGACTTCCCTAGCGTGACTTCTTCCGTCGAGAATTTACACGCTTCGCTTGCGAAATATTCAATGGAAAACAAAAAATATTCTGCTGATCAATGGAGAAAAGAAAAAGAAGAAAAAAAGCTTAAACAACAAAGGGAATACTATGAAAGAAACAAAGAAGTTCTTGCACAAAAAGCAAGAGAAAGAATGCGCTTGCTTCGAAGCAAGAAAAAAAACGCGACAGTCGCCGCAGTGAAAACACGCACATCTGCACAAAAGGCTGATGACAAAAGAGCCAACCGTGAGCGGAATGCTGCATCAGCTACCAAGAAGAAGGTTTTGAAGCAAAGAGAAAAAGAGAGGGAAGAGAAAAAGCGACAGCAAACTCGAGAAAGGGTTCGAAAACTTCGTCAGAATAGAAAAGAGTCATCATTTGCGCACGAAACCTGAAGTCAACATCACCACACCAGCTTTTAGTTCAAGGATGGCAAAAAAACGTGCAAAGGACAAGGTGTCCCCTGCCTTACCTCAAACCCCCGCAAAAAAGGCTGAAATTCTTCAAAACCTTGCAAGTACTCCTCGCACAAGGAAGATTCTTGAAAAAAAGAAGTTCGTGAGACCAGTTGAGGAGCAACAAAATATCGAAGCAATGGAGTGTTTGGTAGAAGATTTGGCAGAAGGATTGTCCAAAGTCAAAAAAGCTAAGTCGACTGATGAAAGAGCAGCTTATAACTGTACGCGCTCTTTGGCTTTTGGATCTTCTGTCAAAAAAAACAAGCACCAAACACGGATTGCCAAGATGATGGGAGTAAAAAGAAGCCAGGTGTCCAAAGCTATCAAACATAGAGAAAGAGTTTTGAAGGGTGATGAGGCCTGCTGGTTGAGCACAAAAAGAAATGTCAGGTGTGACGCGATTAAAGAAGAAGATAAGCGTGTTATCTACGATTTTTGGACCCTACAAGCAAGTCGACCCACTGGATCCAAAAGAGACAAGATGCGGCAACGAATTGGCAAAAAGGAGTATGTGGAGCACGCAAAGCATATCCTTGAAAAGACTCAAACAGAGTGTTTCAAAGAATTCCAGGAGCTACATCCCGACATAAAAGTGAAACAACGAAGATTTGAGCAGTTGAAGCCTTTCTTTGTTACTGGAGCTAGAGAGAGAGATAGACAATCTTGCTTGTGTAGGAAGCATGTAGAATGCAAAATTGTATTTGATTCTTGCATGAAATATCGAAAATCCATACAAAATAATGAAGTTCAAGCCTTTAATTTTCTCACTGAAGCTGTGGAATCCACATTGTGTGAAAAGCCAGAAGACTCCAGCTATTCCTCTCTAGACTGCCTGACAAGGAGCTGTGACAAGTGTGGGGTGAAGAACTTCAAGACAGCAGCTGAAGAAATGTCTGAAACTGAAGTCAAGTGGAAACGATATGAATACATAACGTACAAAGATAACAATGGCGAGGAAAAAAGGAAAATCCACTTGGTCCAAAAGAAACTCCTGTCAAAGAGATGTTTGACTATTTCCAGCAACTCCTGAAAGATTATCCCTACCATTCATTTATGGCCAAATGGCAAAAAGAACAGTTTGATCATTTAATGACAAACCTGCCTCTCAACCATATCATCTGTGTGCATGATTTTTCTGAGAATTACACTTGCAGATCACAAGATGAAATTCAATCAGAGTATTTCGATCCTGTGAAAGTCAGCATTCATGTGTCAATTGTCTATCGCCATGCTGATATTGACATTGATGGCAAAGCAAGTACAGAACAAGACCCTGTCCTCATCAAAGAGCACATCTTTGCCCTTTCAGAAGACAACACTCAAGACTACCATTTTGTACACCACACCCAAGGCCTAATACTGACGTACCTTAGGAATGAGGTCAAAGTGAAAGTAGACAAAGTTCATGAATTCACTGATGGGTGTGCTGGACAATACAAATCTAAGCACACTTTTGGTGATTTGTCATGTTCTTTGTCTGACTTTGGGTGTCAGGTGGACCGGCATTTCTTTGAAACCTCTCATGCAAAAGGAGAGCAAGATGCAGCAGGTGCTAATGTCAAACAACGTGCTACTCTTGCTGTGATTCGAAGAGAAGCATCCATCAAGTCTGCAAAGGAGCTCTATGAGTATCTGAAGGACAAGTTCTCTTTGCCATCTTCAACCAACAGCAAAACCACCTTAAACAAGAGAGTATACTTCTACATTCCACTAAATGGAGAAGGAGCTGTTGACAGAAACAGAATTGGCCGCACTTTTAAAGAGCTAAAAGGGATTAGAAAAATCCACTCTGTAAAAACAACTTCTCAGCAATGTAAGGTGAAGACAAGGCTAAGAAGCTGTATGTGCATTGGTTGTTTAACTGACATGGACTGTGAAAATGAGGAGTATGTTGATAAGTGGAGAGAGGTTGAGATGTCAAGAGAAGGAGATGTTGCAGTCACAAGGCAGAATCAAGACTCAGTCAATGTCAGTAAAACAGTCAATGCACTCACTGATCTTGTTGAAGAAGGAAGTACTGTCACCATTGCAGCAGCTGATGACGCCATATATGATTACTACCTCTTCAAAGTTACAAGCAGTGGTGCCATAATTTTGGGTGAAGATGAAGTTGATGACTATAGTGCTGCTTATCAGAAAGGTTCCTTTGTCTTCAAGGGTAACTTTTTCCTAAGGGACAATATTATAGACATGACCTACAAGCTTGACAATAAACAAGCTATTGTGTATGCAAACACTGTCAGGACTATCTGTGGAGAACTCAAGAAATTAAATAGGCGTAGAAATGTATTATTCCAGCTTTTACCCAACCAGCATGAGGAAATTATGTCTTCTTTTTAGTTATGTAAATAAAACTGTGTTATTTCTAAACAGAATCGTGAATTTAAGCCTGCAAATGTGTAAATAGAATATATGACCACGCCTGCTATGCATTCTGGGTATTAAGTAATGAGGATAATTTAACAGATAACATCAAATATTTTCTCAAAAAGTAGTTCTTACAATAAAAGTTTATGAATAATCTATGTTTTGATGATTTTTTGGTAATTTTATGAAGTTGCTAGTTTTTCCCTAATGTTACGCATTTGTACCCCTGGATCTTGCAACTGATCTTAATAGTTTATAGATGTCAACCTTAGGAAATCATAAAACTAAAGATGTCTGATGTGTTTTGCATCAAATCAATATTTCACTTCAGATATACCATTTTAAAACTTTCCTGAGCTAATTTGCACAAAGTTATGAGCATGACACTTACAAGCAGATACCCTAGTGTTTTTACATATTTCAGCACCAATCTGGAAACGAAGAGACAAGAATCAACATCAGTTCATATAACATTTATATAATATTTTGTATCAATGAAATGTGTGATATTTTAATGACAAGATCTATGCACTCTGTAGTTGTGTATTTAACTTTGTCAACCCAAAACAAACAGAGCATTCATTATATGGATATCACATACGTGTACATTGCATTCTATTACAGTACTACTCACCAAAGCTGTGTGAAGCAAACATGTGAGGCAGTGTGTCCATTTAACAAGTACCTCCAAAAATGTACTTTCAGATCATTTCAATATACATACTGCACATCAAAACTGTTGTTAGCACTGGAATTTTTTTAAAGGAAAATGTGTCAGTGACATCTACATATATATTATATATGTGTGTGTGTCTAAACAATCAAATTGTTGTATTAAAGGCATCATCAACATAAAAAACAATTAATACAATGTATGGAAATATGGGGTCATACAGAATTTACTTTCAATTGAGGAAAAATTCATGTCTTAAGTATTGTCAGTGTGGCACCCTTGCATTCATGCTCATTTAGAGTAATATTCTAACTAACTATAATTAAACCATAAATTACAATCAAACTTTCCTTGAAATACTGTGAATTTTCTTGATACATCAGATTGTTTGAAATGTAAATGACACAGATGATAAGTCATGAAATCGAGATTACCGATTCCATAATATATAATCTGTGTGGTTTGTGTGACTGATGGAGTCTTTGTCACATCTCAAAAGATGGATCAGTCCATGATTTGGAGAAGGTGATATAAAAGGGAATATTAATTGATTCCTGTGATTCCAAAAATATCAATTTAAAGGCTTTTGAGAAATAAAAATGAATAGTTTTCATCCTGTTTGTTCATATAGTACCTTGTGATGAGGACATGTTAACTTTTGGCAATAAGTATGAATATTTTTATATTGACTTTTTTCCTTGTTCCTGCAGACATGCTTAAGAATAAAGTTTGTACTGAAATTTATTCCTCGTCGAGTTGCTTAAATCAAAATCATATTCAAAAAACAAATTTCAGAAAGCAAACGATACTCCAATGCTTCTTTAAAACTGGTCAAAACCATTATCAACCAAGTGATTTTTACTGAACAGCAGTCAGTTACCATTCAAGGAGAAGTAGTGTCCAGAAAATCACTCTTTTTACTTTGCACCAACAAAAATTTAATACAAAGATAGAATACTCACTACAGTTTCAGCCTACTAAGCACTTCCTATAAACCACATCAAATCCTCGCCCTAAAATATTGCGTGACGTCATCGAGCTCAACTTTGACGGGGAAACAAACATGGCTGCTGTTAAGAACCGTATCGTTTCAAGCCAGAACTAGCCCGCAGAGCGAGTGCTCACTCATTTTTTTAACGAAAATTACAGCCGCCATCTTGATTTGTATGGCAACGGAAGGCTGGGGAGAGAGTAAAATTTGTACCAGGGGGGCGGGTGACAGTCAAAAATAAGGAGTGGGGTGGGGCTGGGAGAACTACTTTGACTCCAAATCAAACATGGCCTGTCGGAATAGTTTAACGTTAGCTGGCGTTAGCAAAACGCCTGCACTGCAGGCTTAGCCACAACATGTTCCCGAGGAGAAAAAGGTGTCCAAGGACGATAGTGATGCGTCTGAAAGAGTTAGAAGTTTGAAATGATCGACTGCGTTCGTAGTGAACTCAAAGAAACTGCAAGAGAGTGCCTCTGATGTCTCGAACAGCTCGAATCGGAAAACAGGTTTACGGAATTTATTTGATGAACTCTGTTCTTTTCCGCCCTTTCAATATGCATGCAAATAGGTATCAGCTCCGAATTTACGTGATTAAGACTAGATCTGAAGATCCCCGCGGTTGGGAATCGAGCCTTGCCAGAATCTGACATGTGTTATAATTCTCTCTTGTCATACCTGTTTTTTTTTTTTCAAAAAGCGAGCTTTCTAACAACGTGTTGTAAATAAACCTTGAAAGTGGTACAGTTTTCAGCCTCCAATATTCCAAACCAAGCTTTAGAATCATCGACTGTTTCGACACTATTAAATATTGCGCTTTAATTATTACCTCACGTGCGAAAATAGTGTTGTGTTGTTTTGCAGATCACGAAGAGTCTTTAATCGTTAGCTTAAATCGGGCTGTTTTGTTAACAGCACCTATACGCTTAGAAATATATAATTATATTTGCACTGATATTTATCTAACAATCACGAATGCACAAGGCATCCCAAGAAAGAAAGAGAGGGTTATACATCTCAGCTTTGTGATCTGTATTCCATAATGTGCAGCAGTATCATTTTACTTAAACATGTACTCTCAAACCAACTCTTACACTCTCAAATGAGTCAGCTTTAATCAGAATTAATCAGGTTCATCCTTTTATCAGTGGGTACTCAGTGTCCTACAGTGAGAGAGAGATGGGGTTTAACTTTTCATTGTCAAATTGTTAGTGTCCTTTTTTGTTATTTTCCCTCCAATTTTAATAAACAGTCATCAACAAACCAAAACAAGATAAATGAGAGACTACAGTAAGTCACTAAGAGACAGGACTTCCATACTTTTTCTACTTAAATTCAAATACCACCTACCTGAAATAATCTAACGATAGTCATTATACCAAAACAAAGTGTTTCATTCCTGATTGGTCTATTTTTAATGAATTGAAAAATAACTTGTTAAGTGCAACACAGGATTTCCATGCTACACACTGGCTTGAAATTAAAGCTTTTAAAGATAACAAAACAACACTAAACGTTTCAGCAGTTGAAAGATAACATAAAAATTCAATGGGTCCATCACCCTCTGCATTCTAATGAGTGATCAAATCAAACAATACAATTATCTTATTTCATTTTCTAACTGGTGGAAAATGTTTTGAGGAATGTGCTCTAGGAATGTACAAAGAGCAGTATTTGTATGAGGTTTTGTTTAGAACATATCATACATAAAAACATATCAAACAGCTCTGACATTTCATAATTTATGGTTACTCATTATATGTTTTGAAAGTTTTCCAAACAGCACTCCAATGGCTAGTTTATTAACCAAAGCTTTTTTAAACATCACTCATGCCTTTAAATTAAGAGATGTACTTGAGCTCATGGGATTTCCCTCACAAAAACAACTGTGATTAAATTAGATTTGTATAATTGAGCAATAGAAAAAAGGAATGAATTTCATCATATTTGGAAGATGATGCTCATGTAACTGTTATGCTGTCATGCTGTTATATACATTTTCGATCTGCTCCACTGTGCTCACATGTGCCAGTTCCTGCAAGAACACACCAACAGCTAAGGAAATCGCACAAGAACAATGCTATCATAGAATCCTTAATCTATACACATACATTCCCTATTGTTTGTTTTTAACCCTTTACACTTTAACATTATTATATATGCATATTCTCCATACTTTTCTTTGTCTTCTGACAAGAAGAATTTGCTCAGCAATCAAGAGCTTTTTTTTTGTTAATAATCATTTCCCCTATTCTCATGACCTTAATGTTTAATTAAGGGATGATATTGTAAGGTGAAATTAGTTCCAAGTTACTATTTGGGGTTTGAGTAGTAGAGTGAGTTAATGTTCAAATGATAGAAAACCTAGTGTGCCTGGCCTTTTTTTTACTTGCTAACAAGGTGTTAGTAAAATAGGGATTCTTATCATTAAAAAAATATATCATATTTTTTCAATTTTTTATCTCTCTAAAGTTTTCTTCTTATTTGATGATTTATTTTTGTTGCAGGCAAAGAGAATTTAAGTATAGAGACTTGAAAAAGGAGAACTGCACCTATTGCAGCAAAGTTCAGAGACAGAAGATGTCATGGGGGACCCACTCCCTTTTTGTCTGGGATACTTGAAAAGAATGTATTGGGAGTCTCTGTGCTCGTTTTGAATTTGACAATTTTATAGTTTTTTTAATTTGTTTTGATTTTTTAGTTACTTGGAAAAACTAACCTTGTAGAATTGATGAATTAAAAGCAAATTATGGTCAATGTGAAATATGTGACAATTACTCATACTTAGTATAAAGCTTATTCTAAAATGGTGACCATTTTATGATTCCATTTTTAGTCACCCCAGATATGGTAATGTCATTTCCTTTGTACATTTCCAGTTTTTAAAAAGTGAGATTTTATTTTAAAACTGAAATAGAAGGCAATGTGCTGGGTAGTTGAACCCATGAACATGTTCAACCACAGAAATATCAGGCACTGAAAAGATTACTGGGTATTAATCATGAAAAAGTCAAGTTTCATCCATTGGTGGCTTGTTTTCAAACTTTTAAATTCTGATCATGACACTTGGTTGTCATCTGAAATCCAACAGCTTTAATGTTTGTGTCTCAGTGTCTCCATCCTCTGTTGCTGAGCTGTCAAAGTGGCAGTCCCACTGTGCGATGCTGATAATGATTTGTTTCTTACTGTGGCTCTCTTTGCTGAGCTTTTGGAAAGAGCATGTTATTAATTAAAAATACCCATGGCTCATTTCACCTCAGTTGGTTCTTGTAACAGAAAGGAGTACAAAACCCCACTTACACCCTAACACACCACAGGAAGCTCAGGCTTGTACAATAAGAGTCTGTCTGTAAATATATAAATACTGTAAACTGCTGCTCATAGGTGCCCTCGCCCCCCGATAAAAGCCCATCAATAGCTTTTCTTGTTTTCTTGTTTTTGTAATATCAAAGTAGGAAAAGCCCTGGTGCTGTGACTTGAACATGGAAATTTCAGTGATAGAAGAGCAAAGATGAACTTCAAGAGAAAAGTCTGAACTTCAGTTTTTTTTATGTACCAGTTTTGTTTTTGTTGCTAGTATTAATTCTGTTCCCAATGTATTGAAATTAATTTGAGTTATTATGACTTTTTAAAGCTGAATTAAAAGCGAGTAAATGCTAAACGTATTTTGATCAGCACACTATAGCTTTTTCTTTTCCAGTTTTGCGACCCCTCAGGTATAAGCCCTTCTGTTTATAAGCCCTCCTAAAACCCCTTACGAAGTGTATAACCCATGAGCTTACAGTATGCTAGGCTTGTGGAACTTTAAGGATTTGCATCAGAAGGGATGGTCGTATTCTCAACTCAAAAGTTTGACTCTGTTTTGATTAAAAACAAAGTTAACACCCCCTCTTTTTTCGAATTTTTAAGGCTGCTTTGAAGCCAATTAGTTTGCTGTTTAGAGAGGCAAGAGAGGGAACTAAAAACTAGTTATACGACCGTAAAACAGCCCAAAAGAAACTCACAAGATTCAACTGAACAAACAACATAGAGACAAGTGAAGCTTGTTTTTATTCAAAACTATTTCAAATTTCTGGGTTAAAAATGCAACCGGTTCATTCTCGGAGAAATCCCCACATTTCGCTCGTCGGCTAAAACAAGGAGGCTCACTGTGCGAGCTTGGACTACCTGTGGACCCAGTCACGCATTCAGTGTGCAACTTGAAAACAAGAAAAGGGTAGGATTCCCTTAAATGCTTCATTTATTTTAATGGGTAGGGAGAATGGGGGAGGGGGGGAGGGGCTGATGTTAGCCTTAATTCTTGTCACGCACTTGGTTGATGGAAATATGCAAAAGAGGGATCAGGAAATCGTGACCATCGACTTTAACTCGCCCGGTCCTTTGCTTCTCTCTATTCTTACTTTGGGAAAATTTATCGGTTTGACTTATCTTCGGACAATCATGAAAATGACAACGATCTAACCAAGATAAACGCAAATCAAATTTACCCACTAAATAAATATAGGGATCAGAGGAATGTAAGCGTAAATTAAGGCAAAGACCTCAACAAGTGGTCGCGTGACAGTAAGGAAATTTAAATTCCGTTGTCAAGTCATTGAATTAAGCGAATGTCAAGATTACATATTTAAATTCTAGGAATCAAAGGAAGCGATCAATCGAAGGTCATTCGTCTTCCGCCTCTCGACTTGTTGAATTTCTTGATCGTAAAAGTGCTCTACAGTTACCTACAATTCATTTAGTTTTACGCCTTGGTCGAGAGAAAAAAAACTTTAGCTGTGGGTGAATTTTCCCAAGAACTTCGAGTAACGGATTGGTTGAATCCTTACCTCTGTGTTCCAGGTAAGACTAAGTGCAGTAGTATAGAAGATATTTTGATGACGGTCGTTGTTTGCCAGTACCCCCAATTGCAGAGATGCCCCGAACAACCTGCTTCAGTATAACTATTATTGTGCATACAGTCGTATGTAATTCTAATAAATACCAAAAGCGAAGCAAGATTAAGTGAGTCGAGTCTGACGATAACGTAAGGGTTCAGGATGTTCGATAAACATTCGAGCGCGAGGTCGTTACCTTTCGTTTTATCAGAAATCTCCATGATAAACTTCTGAGCGCATGAACTATTGTCAAAATCTTTGGAAAGAGACGTACTTGTGAAAAGATCGGCTCGGTAGCTCGCTATGCTGGCATGTAAACCATTTTCAGAACAAACTAAGCGTGTCATGAACTCAAGGAAGCGAGGTGTTGTTATGTTGATCAAGCGGTTGCAATATTTCCGTAGGTTGCTTGTCTTCGCAAATCTATCGCTTTTGTCTCTCTTGTCGGCTGTTAATCATGTCTAACGCATGTAATGAGTGTGTTTCACGTTGTGTAGACGTTCATAATTTGATTTGACCGTTTATACACTCACATCGACTCGTATTAAAGAGTTTACAAATTGACTCGGTTTTAAAAATATTTCGCCATGTTTTCTGTAATAGCTTTAGGTAAGTGGCACCAATAGATATAATCAAAGGACGCGGGGGGAAACTTCTAAATCAGAGTAATCGAGAGGGCATCCCTCTTTCTTTCTCTGGAATATTGATTGTGTTAAATCCACGTCATGACTTTCATTTTCATTTTCACTTAATGAAGGGAAATTCCCTCTGCCTCTGGTCGCTTTCAGCTGGGAATTTTCCCTTTTTATACTTACGGCTATTCAAATTGAGCCGCAGCTAAATTCTTTAATTTGAACTTAAGATTGTCATGTAAAGCATGAAATCACGGAATAAAGCTTATTAGAGATTAAGGTGTGCAAAGAAACCTCCGTTTTTTTCTTTTGTATTGTGGCTTGTTTAACTTGAAGTTCAACTGATAAATTTGGAAAATAAACTGATCGCTGAAGCGCTCGGCGAAGACAAATAATATTTTATTTGTGTTCTTTTTCAGTTAAGGAGGTTCCTCAAAGCAAGAGAGGTCACGATCGTGAACAAGACAGCTCTTCAGGTTTGTAAACACTAAATATGAATATAAGCTCTTCTCTGCAATGAAATCTTTCATGCTTAGAGTAGAGCTACGCTGATTTGCAAGTTAACTGTAAATACTGATAATGACATTAGATTTTGTTTAAAATTAAAATTAGTACAACAACATGAAGATGGAGAGACAAGAAGCTTGATTATGCTGCAAATATTGCATGGCTTTGAAAGCCATTAACTAGAGCCTAACCGGAAAAAACTGCGAGCTAGTCTGCTGTCATGCATCACTGGACATTAATAGGTTTTGTCCCATTCACAACAAAGCATAAGCATGTTTCAAAGCTGTTTTGTCAAACATTTCTTCATACAGGAGCTGCTCTTACCAATGTTTGTCGACTTCAAATGTAGTACATATTGAATCCTACGGAAAATTCAGTTTTTTGATTATCTCTTTCTTATTTACATTCGATTAAGCCCGGTTTAGAGGAAGTTTATTTTAACGAAGTTTATTTCGCTACGCAAACTTTCTCTGTTACCACTAGAACACAGAAAGGTATTGAAAGACTTGGTATTTATTTCTAATGATAATCGGAGTGAGTGAAGTCCTGTAGGCCTCTTCCGAGGTTCAGTGATCTGGTGCCGAAATTACGGCACAAGGACGATGCTAAGAGCAAAGTCGCTCTCATCGTTACTTCTTACCTTCGTTTGGTCCTTCTGGAAAAAAATGCGATGAGAAACACCAGAGCGCTAAAACTGTTGTCAAAACCTTTGGAAAGAGACGTACTCGTGAAAAATTCGGCTCGGGAGTTCGCTATGCTTGCATGTGAACAATTTTCATAACAAACTAAGCGTGTCGTGAACTCAAGGAAGCAAGGTGTGTTGTGTTGATCAAGCGGTTGTAATATTTCCGTAGGTTGCTTGTCTTCATAAATCTTCCGCTTTTATTTCTCTCTCATCCGCTGTTAATCATGTCTAACGCAGGTAAGTGTGTTTCACATCGTGTAGACGTTTATAATTTGATTAGACCGTTTATACAGTCACATCGACTCGCATTAAAGAGTTTACAAATTAACTCGGTTTTTTATTTCGCCATGTTTTCTGTAATAGCTTTAAGTAAGTGGCACCAATAGATATAATCAAAGGACGCTGGGTGAAGCTTCCGAATCACTGTAGTCGAGAGGGCATCCCTCTTTCTTTCTCTTGAATATTGATTGTGTTAAATCCAAGTCATGACTTTCATTTTCATTTTCACTTATTGAAGGGAAATTCCCTCTGCCCTCGGTCGCTTTCAGCTGGGAATTTTCCCTTTTTATATTTATGCCTATTCAAATTGAGCCGCAGCTAAATTCTATAATTTGAACTTAAGATTGTCGTGTAAGGGGTAAATTATCAGGGAATGAAGCTTATTATAGATTAAGGTGTGCAAAGAAAGCCCCGATTTTTTCATTTGTATCTTGGCTTGTTTAACTTGAACTTCAATTGATAAATTTGGAAAACGAACTGATCGCTGAAGCGCTCGGCGAAGACAAATAATATTTTATTTGTGTTCTTTTTCAGCTAAGGAGGTTCCTCAAGGCAAGAGAGATCACGATCGTGAACAAGACAGCTCTTCAGGTTTATAAACACTAAATATGAACATAAGCTCTTCTCTGCAATGAAATCTTTCATGCTTAGAGTGGAGCTACACTGATTTGCAACTGTAAATACTGATAATGACATTCGATTTTGTTTAAAGACGTTTTATAATTTGATTAGACCGTTCAGCTCTTCAAGTTTGAAAACACTAAATATGAACACAAGCTCTTTTCTGCAATGAAATCTTTCATGCTTAGAGTAGAGCTACACTGATTTGCAACTGTAAATACTAATAATGACAGATTTTGTTTCAAGACGTTTATAATTTGATTAGACCGTTTATACAGTCACATCGACTCGTATGAAAGAGTTTACAAATTAACTCGGTTTTTTATTTCGCCATATTTTCTGTAAGAGCTTTAGGTAAGTGGCACCAATAGATATAATCAAAGGTCGCTGGGTGAGGCTTCCAAATCACTGCAATCGAGAGGGCATCCCTCTTTCTCTCTCTGGAATATTGATTGTGTTAAATCCAAGTCATGACTTTCATTTTCATTTTCACTTAATGAAGGGAAATTCCCTCTGCCCTCGGTCGCTTTCAGCTGGAAATTTTCCCTTCTTATACTTACGTCTGTTTAAATTGAGCTGCAGCTAAATTTGTTCATTTTATCATAAAATTGTTGTATAAGGCATAAATTATCGCGGAATAAAGCTTATTAGAGATTAAGGTGTGCAAAAAAATCTCAGATTTTTTCATTTGTATTGTGGCTTGTTTAACTTGAACTTCAACTGATTAATTCGGAAAATGAATTGATCGCTGAAGCGCTCGGGGAAGACACATAATATTTCCCTTTACGTTCTTTTTCAGCTATGGAGGTTCCTCAACGCAAGCGCAAGAGAGATCGCGATCGTGAACAAGACAGCTCTTCAGGTTTGAATGAATATGAACATTAACACTTTTCCACAAGTAAATTTCTCATGCCTAGAGTAGAGCTACATATTTGCAAGTTAACTGCAAATATCGATCATAACCTTAAATTTTGTTTGAAAGTAAAATTAGTACAACGACATGAAGATGGAGAAACAAGAAGCTTATTGATGCTGCAAATATTGCATGGCTTTCAGAGCTGTTAGTTGGATACAAACGGGAAAAAAACTGTGGGCTAGTCTGCCATCTTTAGGTGGATACTTTCATCTCATTTTGCTTAAAGTGAAGTATCATTAGCATGAAACAGGTTCATACCCCATTCATAACAAAGCTTTAAAATGTTTCAAAGCTGTTTTGTCAAACACAGTTTAAAATATTTTTCCGCATAGGAGTTGTTCAAACCAATATTTGTGGACTTCAAATTGAATGCTATGAAAAATTCACTATTTCAGTTCTCTATTTCTGATTTACATTCGGTTAAGCCCGGTTTAAAAGAAATCTATCTAAAACGAGGTTTATTTCGCTAGGCAAACTTTATCTGTAACCATTTGAGCATAGAAAGGTATAGGAAAACTTGGTACTTATTTATAATGGTAATGAGACTGAGTAAAGTCCATTAGGCCACTTCCCAGTTCTCGCGGTTCAAAGATCTGGTACTGAAGTTACGGAGCGAGGACGAGGCTAAGTGCAAATTCGCTCTCATTGCTTTAAGGTTTGTCCTTCGGGAAAAAATTCATACGCGTGCTAATTTCTCTTAAATCCTAACAAACTTTACATCGGAGGAAAGCTTAATAACTGCAGTTTATGATAAAAAATAATATATAGATTTAGCCAAGCCTAACAGCGCAGCTCTTGTCAGTTCATTTTCCAGCCCTTCACTATAATAAAGACTGTACTAAAACTCTTCCGTACTGGCTGTCGAAGCGTTTCTCCAAGGGGATTTAAAGACCAATCCGGGCAGTGGAGGGGGGGGGGGGAGGGGGAAGAATTGACGGGGGCTGAAGCCGAGGGACGATGTCCTCAACACACATGTTAATCAGCGGTATTTTTAAGCAGCTGAGTACCTTCGTCAGTGTTCCTGATGGTTTGAGCAAATTTTCTAGATAGGGAATGTTTTCCTCTTCAGATGTAGTGTGATGATGTGAGCATCAGTTGAAATAATACTAAGGTCGATCAATTTGCGAGCTATGGCTCCCAACGTGCCTCACGCACCTGTAGAGGACGAAGCTCAAGGACCTCAAAAAGCAACTGTGGAGTATGTCGCGTTTTTCTTAACGACAAGAGGAAGGGCGGCGAGAATTTCTTGCAGTTTTCAGTTTTTGATCAAATTTCTGGTGGTTTTGCAGTTTCTAATAGACTACAATGCCCCCTCTATTAATTAATATTTCTCTTTTTATATATATATTTCATTTCACGTGCTTCTTTTCCTTTAATTTATTCAATATCATTTAGCACGCGCAATAGAAAAGACGAAAAAAGAGGCGAGGAGTAAGAAGGAATCAGGAGTAAAGAAAAATAGAAATACGAGAGCCTGATTATTAGAATTGAAATCCCCTATAAATTAAGCGTTTATGTGACTCTTTAAATAAGCTCTTGTCATTCTCTGTAATCGCCATGTCAGTACTTGCTTCAAATTCAGTGTTTTTTGGCGGCGATGCATGCAGCACGTAGGTGGTAGCGCGTGGGCCCGAAATGGACTTGTAGTTTCCCATTCTTCTTGAACGATTTGTAGTCATTAGTAGACGCAATAACATCATTTGGCGGATCAGGAATTTCGTCCAGGACTCGTTGGGCGTTGGGCAGAATCACAGCCGTAGTACTCAAAGGCCATTTAAGTTTATACTTTCGGGTTGCAGAGCCCATAGTGTTTTCTAAGAGAGTAGCAGATGGTGTTTTCCCTGATCTTGCTCCCGAGGGTTGAGCGCTGGTTAAACCCCGCTTTCTGGCAAACTTAAGCTTATTATATCATGTAAGCTAGGAAGCGATCTCGTCTTTCTTTTCGGCAACGGCTTGGGCATGAGAGCATATCTTAGTTGCCTTCTAGTGAGGGCACTCGGACTCGACTTTCCCATTATCCATTAGGGAATAATTTGGCCTTTTCCCTGATTGACTTGCGACGGAAAAAGACCCTGATGCATCGGCTGTTGAAGGTCCTTGCCACAACGATTGCTAAGACCACCAGCCAGGGATTCCTCAAAATCGTCTTCGTTCTGTTCAGAAAGATCGCTTCCATCCACGTGTTTTTCGAAGTAGCTGTCGTTAAAATAAGAATAGAGCTTGCACCTTCTTGTCGTCTTTTCGAATTAGAGGTTCCTCTTTGCTCTTCATCTTTAACAAAACCTCCAATAGCTCGCCATCTTTTCCTTGCCCTGAAGATAAGCTGGTTGAGGCGCCTTTTTTTACCTGATTTCGGTAATAAACCTGGCGTGGACCACGTGGAAGGTCACTTAGAGAGTCTACTTGCATGACACCGCCTGCGTCCCTTGTTGCCTGGAATACTGCTTCTTTAGGACCCGTAGAGGACAAATTAGTGTCAATTTTCCGGATAACACGAGGCCTTTGTGCGCGTGTAACCAGGCGCATGCCCCCTTTCGGTGTTTTGGTGAGGCTTTTGAAAGATGTTTTCCTCGATAACATCATAGAATACTGTCACGTTGTTAAGAATGTCATTTCTTCGATCTCTCATGTGCACTATCCTCGCCCATCAACAGCTCCAAATCGTCATTATATTTAGGTGGAAGAATTCCCAGTGACAGTACTACCCGTGTGGATGACTTAGGTGGAAAAGCGAGATACTAGAAGAAGAGACTTCGTTTGACCCAAAGTGGAGAAATTTTTTTCCTCCCGATTTGAAGAATATTCATCAGAACTTTCACCTAGGCAGCAACATTGATTACTACTATTACGTTATTGAAAATCCTAAGTTATTCACAATGTATTTCCTCTGCCGGAGCGCAGGAGATCTGTGATTTCTGATGCTCCCGATGTGGGCTCCCGCGAAAAGGAATTCTCGGAAGTCGGTCAGGAGGGGGGATGGCAACAATAAGAACTGAGAGTTGCATAAAATTATCATTACTAACAGCCCCCATCTTAGTCCACCATCGAGCTTTTACTTCTACGTGAGAAAACTACACAGAATTCTTTAACGGTCTTAGTCTGGGCGGGCAAATCACTACCCACACGCACATTAAGACATACACAAGCACCCGGTCTCGGAAAGAAAGAAGAGAACGGACAAGGTAACTCCTGAAGTGGCCCTGAAACAAATGATTTTAAAGTACATTTATAAGTTCACGTCAGTGTGACATAGGTGTTGGCTAATTTGCATACAAGCTATCTACATCGAAACGATGTTTTCTTTATTTTCAGTTTTATTTTTGCTTTCTTTTTTAGTCGCCAACTTACAGACCTGCTTTTATATCAATGTGTTACAGCTTTTAGTACATTTTTCGTCCGTTATCAAACAATGAAAATCCCAGTCTAAGAAAATAGGCACTGTAAAGAATATGAAAAGAGAGACACAGATGCATCGCTCTCAGTGATTTTCCCTTTCTTAAAAATTCGGAGTTTCATTTAATCTGGTACCTCTTTCGGGAATTTGGCTCTGAACTTTTTAATCCTGCCAAGAAATGAAATGAAAGAAGAGTTGATACAGCATTTTAAAATAACTAAAGCTGGAGAATGTGAGGGGAAGTTTTGGTTAAACGGTCAAGACATGGATTAATAATCAGTTGCCATTATCTGTATGCTTGGAGCGTGCTTCCTCAGATTCCTTGGTGGGGATGCTCCAATTTTATTCCAAAACATGCCATTTTCCACACCCAAAATTTATCTACTTTGCACTGAAAAATCTGTCGTCGAGGGACATTTTAACTTATGGGATTGTGGTATGCTCGAGATTGGATTCGAGTTCGAGTTTGAGTTAAACTTTGAGTTGGATTTCAAGTTGAACTTCGAGTTACATTTCGAGTTTTATGAAAATAGTTCGAATAAATGGATTTTAATCTTATCACCCACATTACATAGGTAAATGTTGATATTTAAGCAATAAACCACACTTTCTATCGATTTCTTTCTGTAAGACTATCACAGAGACTTCCAAAGCACAAAATAAGGAAAGCCGGAGTCAAAACGGATTTGGACACCCCTTCGCAGATTCGGACCCTTCTACCGAACGCTCCTTTTAAGCATCATTTGTATCATATTTGGTAACTAATTCTATTTGCAATTTTGTTTATCAATGTTTTTCTCCAACACAACACAACATTCCTCAATAAAGATAAAGAAAAACAGCCATTTCGTTCCAATTCTACCGCATTTATTATAGCGAGTCGTACCGTATACGCAAGAACTAAACGCGAGCAAACTACTGCATTCGAACTGCTGAAATTGTTACAATAAATCCTTGCTTCTTCTGATGCCAATCAACATTGATACGACACGTCATAACAATAGTGAAGACTTTTGCGTCCAGTCACAATAATAACTCAGTCTGATTTTCTAATTTAATAACATTCAACAGTGTCTAAACAAATCGAGGACCCGAGCAATCGGGATTCCAATGAAGTGAAAATAATTAAAGCTTTCACGCGTTTCACACTTGCATATCTAGCATTCCATGTTTCACACCTTTTTTAATAGCATTACGAAAAATCAAACGTTCTCAAGTTTCATAATTCGTTTCTATTTGTTCGGGTTCACGAGAATCCTAAGTCGTGACGGGATGCTAAGAACAAGGTAACATCAATGCGCAAGTTTTGAGTTAAAAACGTACTTTAGTATGTACTGGAACGTTAAGTCTTATCAATTTCTATTAGAACGTTAAGGATAATGTTTTCAGTCAGTTTTGTTGGGGGTCCAAATCCGCGGAGGGGGGTTCAAATCCGTCAGCGAATTTGGACTGGCGGGAGATCCTCATTTCTTTCTTCGAGAATATACCGAAGCTAACTCGCACGGAAAAGATGTAAATAATAGCCATACTATACATCGCGATTTAAATCGTTGAGCACACTAAATTTGAAATCGCACAAAGATGGAATGAAGGGTCTAAAGTTTTTCGGCGGTCTGATCTTTGAGTTTCCATGGTGTAAGGTTAATTTAGTAACGCCCTGATCGGGGACAAATAATTATTCCTTCGGCTCTAAGAGGTATTTTTTTTGGTAAAAAAGAAGATCAACTCGAAGTAATCAAATTTAGAACAATTAACTTATCGTGCATTCTCTAACAGGTAGTCTTATCTAAAACAGTCCTACTCCTCACCTCGTTATTTGCCTCTTCTCTCGCGTGTGCTAAATAATATACAATAAAGGAAAAGTAGCATGTGAGATGATATGAAAAAAAAAATAATAATAATAACTGTCTCATGAAGGATACGTACCTCTCGCTTGCCTTCGTCCATGGTAGCACTACACAACACTCCTCTTTGTACACAGCCGTGAAAGTAACTACATGGGGTTTTGGGAAAAAAAAAAAAAAAAAAACCTCCCAGTGGGGTCTGCACTCCATTATGTCACGCAGGCTTTATTTTGGCTTTGCACGCAAAATTTCGAGTGTCAATTAACATGATCCGATCTGTGCTCTGTGATCTGATCCGTGATCCGATTCGTGATCTGTTCCAGGTTTTTTCGACGCTTAGCAACATGAGTGCACAGTCTTATTCACAAGGCATCAATCAAAAAAACTTTGTCGGCCCTTTTCGATATTCTGATTGGTTGTCCAGTTAACGACATATTAAGTCGGAGTAGCTAAAAATACGCGAGGCGTGTTGCGTAAATGGACGCCACGGGACAAATATTTCACATATCAAAATTTTCCGACACAGTTTCATTTTTCATTATTCCTGGAATGTTGCGGCGAAATTTGACGAAAATCGGTCACTAAATACCTTCATTTGAGCATTGAGGAGGGTGGCACAAGAATGGGCAAAGTTCCCAAAGGCAAAAAAAAAAGCCCCACGCTAAAATGGAAAAACCGGAAATTGTGCTGAGAACCAAGACAACGAATCGATAGACAGCTTTCAAAATTACGATTCAAAGCGACTGTTAATGTGAATGTATCAAGGCCGGTTACTTGCATGAGTAGTAGGAAACCTCGATTTGAAATTTATGTATGGCAAATTTTGTTTTGACGCGACTCCTTTGTTCAAGATCTGGACGCCAGCGTGGAGCTTCGCCACTACCAGTCGCTTTCACTGAAGATTTTTTTTCTTTTCTTGACAGAATGGTACTCTTTATTTCCTCTTAGGGCCTGTTTTTCTGTTTCTTTTTTTTTAACCAGGGATTTTCTTCTGCTTTTGATATTTCCATGAGCAAAGATTTTTCCATAAGCAAAGAGCTTTCTTTTGTGAATTTTGTCAAGTGCGCGATGTAAACAAAATGTGCAAATAAAATGAAAAAGAGATGAGCGATTGCCATGAAAATTCTCTTAAGAGAGTCGCCCAGGTACGAGATTATAACACCTTCCTGATTCATTAACTTTTATTCCAAATTACCTTTTCCTAAATAACTCGGGTGCTTTTGGAGATTTGAAAACCTTTTTTCTCGGAAACGTTAGGTACAATGTTTGAAGTCAGTTAAGTCAAATAAAAGAAAAAACGACTTTTCTGGCCTCTGAAGGTAGAAATTAACCTGAAAGAATTAAGATCAAATAAGTGCTATGGTGAAATTTCTCGAAAATTCAGCGTGGGAGAATGAAAAATTATTTGTGGGAGAGAGGCATTCAGATAAGTAACGGAGGCATAGGAGAAAAAAAACAAAACTGTTTGATTTAAACAAGAAAGCTGCAGAAATGAGGCAGATCCAGCAAGCATCTTCTGCCAAAGACTGTAAAAACTGTTAAAGGAGACATTACAAACAAGTGAAGGCAAATTCCTAGTACCAAAAGTTTTGATTGCCCGGACGTATCACTTTTCTAACAATCCAGAGCTCTCGTCCGGCGTCCGCATGCAGCCTTGCCTTAGTTGTTGTGATGTCATCATTTAACCGTTGTTTTATGTCTTGATGATTCGTAGCGGGGGCACACTATAGTTTGCGAAACGAAATGAAATTAAAATCTGTAATTTGTGAAATGAACTTAAATCTGTAATTTTCGAAATGGAAACATGAATCTTATGGTCACCAGCCGGATGCATCGGTCAAAACTTTTTAAAATATCTCTTTTACTCTGGTACGCTTGAACGAATTGTCAACGGAAACTAAAAATATGAATTCATTTCACACATTTAAACGAATGCTTTTAGTCTTTTATAAGGGCGGAGGAATTGAAAATACTTGAAAACACTCATTTTTTTATAAAGATTAAATTTGAATTCATTTGTTTAATTTTTTTTACGTATATCCGTTTGCAACGAATTAGATAAAATAAAGTTTAACTGAACATGTTTTGTTGATGTGAATGGGGTAGAAGATAAATGAACCTATTCCCTGTTCAGAAGTTGCGTTAAGGTTCGTGCAGTATTCCAAGGAAAACGATCCAAGTGTTGCACCTCCACGATGACCTGACCGCCTTCTGTTTCTCACTGCCTTCATCATTTCAACCTATTGAAGGCCTTCGGGTCTATTGAGACCTATGTTAGGATATGTTTGTTTAGGTTATGGTGCTCTGTGGAATGTAGGAAGGGGGGGCGAAACATTTCTTAAGAATGATCCTCCAACTGTGACGGGCGATTTTAATATAAGTTTTTCACTTCAATATAAATCTCCCGTGAGCATAGCTTAACGGCCGATAATAAGGCATAACCTAAAGGCTGGTCTTCATCTACAACGGAGTCGAAGTCGTTATTGAGAAATGCAGAGCAGTACGATCAAGCTGAAATCAAACTTGTTTGATCTTCCAGTTCTGTTTTCAACTCCAACAATTGACTTTTCACGGTTCAAAGCGGAATCGGACGAAAACATTCTCATTTTTCCGACTCTGATCCTGTACTTTGATTCTGTTGAGCTTATGACTCCGCTCATGACACCGATTTTTAGTTTTCACTCAGTCGGAAGTGCTCCAACGACTCCGACTGGGACTGCGATTCCGTTGCTAATGTAGACCAGCCTTAAGACAACTTGAAGAGAAGGATATCCCGATAAGATCATCTGGTTTTTTTTTCCATATTTGAGGGATAAATCTTGGGTAAGGACTGGAAAAGCTTTTGCAATAAAATTCATCCGGGTTCAGACTCAGTACAATTTATCAAGCTACAAACACATTTCTTAGGTTTCCTATTAAACCACTGGTTAAATAAAAAAAAATCTACATTTGATTGTAGGGATATTTGAATAGAATTCAAATTGGAAAGTTGAAAGCAAATGAAAATCTTAATTTCAAATGAGGAAAGAAACTTTTTGTCCGTTAATGATCGCTATATTAATTCTAATTTCCTCTGAAAAAAGTATCTTTTTTCATATTGGTGGGTAGGCGACAATTTACAAAGTACCGAAAAGTTAAAGGCGAACGACAAAGCTGGCGAAAGACAAGCTTTTGGAAATCTTGGCATTGCCTATGATAACCTATGCGATTTTCATAAGGCAATCGAACACCATGAGCGTGACCTACAAATTGCAAAAGAAGTGGGGGATAAAGCTGGAGAAGGACGGGCTTATGGAAATCTTGGCATTGCCTATCACAGGTTAAGCGATTTTCATAAGGCAATCGAGTACCATGAGCGTCGTCTACAAATTGCAAAAGAGGTGGGGGATAAAGCTGGAGAAGGACGGGCTTATGGAAATCTTGGCAATGCCTATCACAGCTTAGGCGATTTTCATAAGGCAATCGAGTACCATGAGTGTCACCTACAAATTGCAAAAGAGGTGGGGGATAAAGCTGGAGAAGGAGGGGCTTATGGAAATCTTGGCATTACCTATCGTAGCTTAGGCAATTTTCAAAAGGCAATCGAGTACCATGAGTGTCACCTACAAATTGCAAAAGAAGTGGGGGATAAAGCTGGAGAAGGACGGGCTTATGGAAATCTTGGCAATGCCTATCACAGCTTAGGCGATTTTCATAAGGCAATCGAGTACCATGAGCGTGACCTACAAATTGCAAAAGAGGTGGGGGATAAAGCTGGAGAAGGACGGGCTTATGGAAATCTTGGCAATGCCTATGACAGCTTAGGCGATTTTCATAAGGCAATCGAGTACCATGAGTGTGACCTACAAATTGCAAAAGAAGTGGGAGATAAAGCTGGAGAAGGACTGGCTTATGGAAATCTTGGCAATGCCTATGACAGCTTAGGCGATTTTCATAAGGCAATCGAGTACCATGAGTGTCACCTACAAATTGCAAAAGAAGTGGGGGATAAAGCTGGAGAAGGAGGGGCTTATGGAAATCTTGGCAATGCCTATGACAGCTTAGGCGATTTTCATAAGGCAATCGAGTACCATGAGCGTCGTCTACAAATTGCAAAAGAGGTGGGGGATAAAGCTGGAGAAGGACGGGCTTATGGAAATCTTGGCAATGCCTATGACAGCTTAGGCGATTTTCATAAGGCAATCGAGTACCATGAGTGTGACCTACAAATTGCAAAAGAAGTGGGGGATAAAGCTGGAGAAGGAGGGGCTTATGGAAATCTTGGCAATGCCTATGACAGCTTAGGCGATTTTCATAAGGCAATCGAGTACCATGAGTGTGACCTACAAATTGCAAAAGAAGTGGGGGATAAAGCTGGAGAAGGACGGGCTTATGGAAATCTTGGCAATGCCTATGACAGCTTAGGCGATTTTCATAAGGCAATCGAGTACCATGAGTGTGACCTACAAATTGCAAAAGAAGTGGGGGATAAAGCTGGAGAAGGACGGGCTTATGGAAATCTTGGCATTGCCTATCACAGCTTAGGCGATTTTCATAAGGCAATCGAGTACCATGAGTGTGACCTACAAATTGCAAAAGAGTGGGGGATAAAGCTGGAGAAGGGGGCTTATGGAAATCTTGGCAATGCCTATCACAGCTTAGGCGATTTTCATAAGGCAATCGAGTACCATGAGTGTCACCTACAAATTGCAAAAGAAGTGGGGGATAAAGCTGGAGAAGGACGGGCTTATGGAAATCTTGGCAATGCCTATCACAGCTTAGGCGATTTTCATAAGGCAATCGAGTACCATGAGTGTCACCTACAAATTGCAAAAGAAGTGGGGGATAAAGCTGGAGAAGGACGGGCTTATGGAAATCTTGGCAATGCCTATCAGAGCTTAGGCGATTTTCATAAGGCAATCGAGTACCATGAGTGTCACCTACAAATTGCAAAAGAAGTGGGGGATAAAGCTGGAGAAGGAGGGGCTTATGGAAATCTTGGCAATGCCTATCACAGCTTAGGCGATTTTCATAAGGCAATCGAGTACCATGAGTGTGACCTACAAATTGCAAAAGAAGTGGGGGATAAAGCTGGAGAAGGACGGGCTTATGGAAATCTTGGCAATGCCTATGACAGCTTAGGCGATTTTCATAAGGCAATCGAGTACCATGAGTGTGACCTACAAATTGCAAAAGAAGTGGGAGATAAAGCTGGAGAAGGAGGGGCTTATGGAAATCTTGGCAATGCCTATCACAGCTTAGGCGATTTTCATAAGGCAATCGAGTACCATGAGTGTCACCTACAAATTGCAAAAGAAGTGGGGGATAAAGCTGGAGAAGGACGGGCTTATGGAAATCTTGGCAATGCCTATCACAGCTTAGGCGATTTTCATAAGGCAATCGAGTACTATAAGTGTGACCTACAAATTGTAAAAGAAGTGGGGGATAAAGCTGGAGAAGGAGGGGCTTATGGAAATCTTGGCAATGCCTATCACAGCTTAGGCGATTTTCATAAGGCAATCGAGTACCATGAGTGTGACCTACAAATTGCAAAAGAAGTGGGAGATAAAGCTGGAGAAGGACGGGCTTATGGAAATCTTGGCAATGCCTATCACAGCTTAGGCGATTTTCATAAGGCAATCGAGTACCATGAGTGTCACCTACAAATTGCAAAAGAAGTGGGGGATAAAGCTGGAGAAGGACGGGCTTATGGAAATCTTGGCAATGCCTATGACAGCTTAGGCGATTTTCATAAGGCAATCGAGTACCATGAGTGTGACCTACAAATTGCAAAAGAAGTGGGGGATAAAGCTGGAGAAGGAGGGGCTTATGGAAATCTTGGCAATGCCTATCACAGCTTAGGCGATTTTCATAAGGCAATCGAGTACCATGAGCGTCGTCTACAAATTGCAAAAGAGGTGGGGGATAAAGCTGGAGAAGGACGGGCTTATGGAAATCTTGGCAATGCCTATCACAGCTTAGGCGATTTTCATAAGGCAATCGAGTACCATGAGTGTGACCTACAAATTGCAAAAGAAGTGGGGGATAAAGCTGGAGAAGGAGGGGCTTATGGAAATCTTGGCAATGCCTATCACAGCTTAGGCGATTTTCATAAGGCAATCGAGTACCATGAGCGTGACCTACAAATTGCAAAAGAGGTGGGGGATAAAGCTGGAGAAGGACGGGCTTATGGAAATCTTGGCAATGCCTATCGCAGCTTAGGCGATTTTCATAAGGCAATCGAGTACCATGAGTGTGACCTACAAATTGCAAAAGAAGTGGGGGATAAAGCTGGAGAAGGAGGGGCTTATGGAAATCTTGGCAATGCCTATCACAGCTTAGGCGATTTTCATAAGGCAATCGAGTACCATGAGTGTGGCCTACAAATTGCAAAAGAAGTGGGGGATAAAGCTGGAGAAGGACGGGCTTATGGAAATCTTGGCAATGCCTATCACAGCTTAGGCGATTTTCATAAGGCAATCGAGTACCATGAGTGTGACCTACAAATTGCAAAAGAAGTGGGGGATAAAGCTGGAGAAGGACGGGCTTATGGAAATCTTGGCCATGCGTACTTTCTACTTAATGATACGTCTAAAGATCGAGGATCGTTTTCGAGTGCCCTTGACTGCTTTATTTCCAGTTTGTCAAAGCTCAATGAAATTAGGGCTCATCTCCGGTTTAAAGACGAGTGGAAAATTAGCTACCGCGATACGTATAATAGTGTATACAATAATTTGTGGCGTCTCCATCTAAGCCAAGGTGAAGTTCGTGATGCCTTGCGAGTTGCTGAGGGTGGACGGGCACAGGCTTTAAAAGATCTCATGGAAGAAAATTATGGGTGTCAAGAGGTATACTCTCAGTCTCATTCCTCAGGAAAGTCAAGTGGCTCCTCTTTTAGATCCATTCCTTCAACAACAGTTTTCATAGCTCTTGATAAACAAGAGATCATTTTCTGGGTTATAAGAAAGGATGAAGAAGTCACCTTGAGGAGAAGAAAGGTAGGAGATATTTCAGAAGAAGATGTGAGAGCTTTCCTTACGACTCTACACAGTACTGCCTTGAACGAAATTGGTGTACGTGCTGGCGTCAAAATTGAAAATCGCTCGCTTGTTCAGTTGCGTGAGGGGGAGTGCATGACTGAAAAGGCCTCTTGCAGTGTTTCTCAGCCTGTTTCATCAAAGGAGAGTTTAAAGAGGTTTTTTGACCTTATAATTGCTCCTATTGCTGACCTGGTCCATGGAGATGACCTCATTCTCGTTCCGGAGGGTTCATTGTGTTTGATACCCTATGCAGCACTGATTAACCCAGAGCAGGAGTATCTGTGCGATTCCTTAAGAATCAGATTGATTCCGTCCTTGACTACTTTGAAATTAGTTACTGATTGTCCAGCTGACTTCCACAATACGAAAGGCGCACTTCTAGTGGGAGATCCGTACCTAAATGGAATTGTCTATAAAGGAACAAAGTATTGTCGGCTGCCATATGCAAAGAAAGAAGTAGAGATGATTGGGAGAATCCTAGGAACAGTTCCCCTCATTGGAGAGAAGGCGTCTAAAGGAGAAGTCTTAAAGCGACTATCTACGGTTGCTTTGGTGCACATCGCCGCCCATGGCGGAATGGAAACAGGAGAAATTATTTTGGCCCCAAACCCAGCTGGGAAATCCCTTCATCTTGAGGAGAAAGACTTTTTGTTGACGATGAAAGATGTGTTAGAAGCTAAGCTGCGGGCAAGGTTGGTTGTGTTGAGTTGTTGTCATAGTGCTCATGGGCAAATAAAGGCTGAGGGGGTGGTTGGCATTGCTCGAGCATTCTTAGGTGCTGGGGCTCGTTCCGTTTTGGTGTCCCTCTGGGGGATTGATGACGAGGCTACTTTCCAGTTTATGAAACATTTCTATAAAGAACTAGTGAAAGGAAGGAGGGTCAGTGAAGCTCTTAACCAAGCCATGAAATGTATGAGAGAGTCTGGGGAGTTCAGGGAAGTAAAGTACTGGGCACCATTTGTTCTCATTGGGGACGATGTCACTCTGGAGTTAAATGGAACTAATTCAGTTTAGTTGCTGCTCAATGTAAATATAACTTATTTTGATATTTTCCTTTTAATGTTCTTAAAAATCTTAAAGTGCCTCTTGACGTCAAGTTTTGCACACTCCATTCATTTGCATTTTCGGCCGCAATATGGCTCTCTCACGAACCTTGCCAAATTTCAATCCGTTTCGAGCAACAGAAATCATATGTGCGAGATTTCGCGGCCGCCATTATTTGACTTTCCTCTAGAACTAAATCCGCGATTTCAAAGGAGTTGGCGTTGGCGAACGCAGAAAACTCACCTGACTATCTCTAATAAGGTTATAACTGGGATTTGTACTGTATTCTTTACATCATGCTTCCGTCAAGAAGATAACACAACGTAGTCTGTTAGAAGCTTTAGACACATTGTGGATGGCAATTGTTGACTTTCTTAGCTACTGTTTATGCTCCACGAAAAGTACTTGAGCCAACCGAAAAAAATTAATTAAACAAGAAAAAAGTAAAGAGGACAGTCAGAGTTTTTAAACAAACTGTATCATGATTTCCTTTATTTGTCAAAATACATGAAGTTTTTAATGGTGATGTTCTTTTTCTATGCATAGATGGTTGCCGCTCGAAGAAGATGAATGCAATCTAGAATCGTAATTGGCCGTAATTGGAATGGGTCTTGTTATGACAAACCCTTTCAATGGGATAGACGGTACTGTCTTATATTTCAAACAGCATGAAATGAATCAAAATTTGGGAGTTTGGAAATAATCTGGCTCTCTTTGCGTAGCGAAAAATAAATGTTAGTCGGCGGAAACTTTTTTATATCCGCCCACCGTATCCCAAATCGTAACAAACCATAGTCACTGGTTTGACTTTATATGTTGTAACTTATCGAATTTGTAAATCGACTTGATAGCGCCCATATACACGATTTAAATGAACAAATATATTGGTATTAAATTGAAGAACAAGTAAGACACGAGTTTTGAGTTTCAAAAATATGGACACTACACAGGCGGCGGAGTAGGGGGGAAGGGGGCCCCCTCACCAAGTAATCTGTTTTTAGAGCCCTTTAGTTACGGTAATAGACTTGATGGAATTTCATTTACCAATTTGGGTAAAGAGCCTAGCTCTTTTTAATTATACTCAAGTCTCTGTAAGAAGCATGCGTAGTTTTGAGATGTCACATTTTCAGTAAGGAGACCTGTGAAACCACTGTAGGCCTTGAGTGTGGTTAGTTTCGGTGTCCTGTTCGATATAGAAAGAGAACCGTCCTAGATCGGGGCAGGGAAATATTAGTTAACATTTTTCAGTCAGAAATAATAAGTAACTTTGAAAGATTCTCCTTCCGCGCAGATGTTGCAGCTCAGCGGGTTCAAAAGCAAGAATGGGGAGCCAACTTTGCATAGTGTTAAAGAATAAGATCACGGGCTCTGTTGAACTAATTTGAGTTAGGTTATAATAATTTAATTGGATTGATATTTTGTTTTTGAAGTTGTTTAAGTTCACTTAAAATATTCTCGTACACCGTTTTCATAGGCAGGTGCTGTATAAGGTGACTGTTGATATCAAACAAGTAGTTGAATGATTGCTCGTGTTTATTTTAGCGCGCAAATGTATAAGTATTGTTAGCGCGCAAATGTATAAGTATTGTACCTCACGAAGTGCTTTGAATTCAAGATTGGCTTTTAGGTATATACGCGTTGAATAACTTATTTAAATGCAGTAATTTGGGGATCAGTTTCTGGTATGGTTTTAGCGCAAACGGAAATTACCGTCTTCGAATTCATAGATATGCTAAAACTGATTTGTTTTTATAGTATAATCTTCCCTTCTTGGAGGTGCTTTCAACTAAGAAGCTGAGTCATTATTTTCGGTCTTCACCGTTTTGACCTAATACTAGTCTTTCACAATCTATTGCTTCCTGGAATTTCTAGAATCACTGATTTAGCGCCATGACCTGATGTTTTTATTTTTTTTTGCCACTTGTGCTGAAGCCATGCCAAACCAATGCTCTTCAGCTAATAATATTTGTGGCTATTTTTCACAACTTAGAAAATATTATGCCACCAGTGTGACTGAATTACTAACTAGTTTCCAGTTAACTTATGGAAAGTAGGCACTACCATCGGTAGGCCCTTCTCCAAATACGAATTGATTGCTCTTGTTGCATTTACATTTAGCCCTTTGACTCCCATGAGTGACCAAGACAAAATTTCTCCTTACAATATCAATACAACATCAAGCAGACAAGTAATGAGTTTAAAGAAAAATATCAATGAAGGGATTGTTAATTGATCCAATACCAAATTTTCCAAAGTAACATCATAAGAATTGATTGACTGAGAGTAAGGAGAATTTCTGATGAGATCTTGGGAGCGAAAGGGTTAAACTGTGTTTCTGTAAACGAATTCATGTTACAGTTAATGAATTTCGTTAAAGTTGTATCTACCAGTTTTTATATTGCTCACGTTGGATTATTTTGGCCAGGAAACCTGCATAGGACAACAAAACTTTTAACATGAAAAATGTTATGACCATGTGCATCTGAACTTAGGTCCGTATGCTGATCATCTCTTTGCACAAGCGCAGTTTGGTTACAACCTACTATGCAAGGCATTACGTAAGCATAAATTAAGAACAGTTGATAGTTTGATGACCTACTGTCAGTCTCTTGTCAGTTCTAGCCCGGTCACTTTGAAAGTACGTGAGCAACAACCTCGTAGGCTGTGGAACAGTTACCAGCTGAACAGTTAAGTTGTCAAGTTAAGCCTAACAAGTTGTACTACAATCCAAGCTATTAAACAAGTGTGATTTAACAGTTCCAGTTCATTTTGTTTGGTAGTTCAGCTAGTCCCCAACCAAAAGGTTTCTTAACAGTTGGCAATATATGTTTCCCATAATTACCTTCAGTGCTGAGAAACGTTGAATAATTAACAACTATTCATGTCGGTGTGGTGGTAATTCATGTCGGTGCTGGATATTTAGTGAGCTGAGATGAATAGCTATCTCAGTATATATTAAAATAATAAGACAATATAGCACAAAAAGATGAATGCGTGCCCTGATTGGCTACTGAAACGCCGATTATCTTTTGCTATCCACCTCCGAGCAACTCACGCTGGATTTGCCCCTGAACATTTGGTAATCGTTGCCACTTCGGTGAATAGTTCTGAAGTGTTTTAGGTTTGATTCCCTGAAGTGCTTTTGATTTGACACTGGAAACAAAGACCCAAAATGACCAAGAAGTGTTTTCAAGAAAACTACACCTGCAATTCTTTTTCTGAGCATTGCTCGTAATGATCTACCCCTGAAAAATTGCCCCATTTGAAAGTTATGTTAAACCTAGAATGAAAGACTAATATCAAAGGCGCGTGAGGTTTGGTTTGCTAATTTACTTAATAGAGCATACTACGTAATACTCCCGATTTGCAAAGGTTTTTTTCCCTTCGGTAAAATAGCGATCACGTGTATTTGCTTAAAATGAATTCTTCAGGACGAATTCATCTTCAGATTCTTTTTTTAATGTTTGTCTTGTTTTGTTTTGCTTTTTCTCCGGCATGCTGCAACTTATGAATAAATTAAGTGTAGAATGGGGTGTTTGGTGCACGAACTAACAAGAAAAAGAAAAACAAAACTCAAGTGATCAGAAAAAAATCGATGGAAAAGTCAAAATGTTTGCAATGACAGCTTATCAAATAATCACAGTGTGATAAAGGTGTGATGAAAGTGCCACCAGAGATCAGCTGCATGTCAGCTGTTAGAGCACATTATGGTGGTGTAATCTCCTGTAATATTTCTGGTAGACCCTAAGAGCTCTATTCAAAGGGATACTTAGAATGTAGCCTGAAAAGAGAAGTTCAGAACTCAAAAACCAAATGAAAGATTTTTATTTTTCTGCCAGCCCTTTAAGAAGTAGTGGTGTGAATATAAAGCATTAAATGTGTTTGCTGCTGCCCTTTGGGATTACAGAGAGTAACCTAAACTGTTCAAGAATTGTCTTCTGCTGAGTTGAAAATTTGGCAATGGGCATCCTTTTGCCCTTAGTTTGATTTACTGAAAATGAAAATACACAATAAAAAAATTCAAAGAAATAAATTCGAAACAATATTGGGACTGTGATGCTCTCTAACCTTGAAGTGTACATTTGTTTGTTTCTATTTTTCATTTGTAATTTTCAAACCAAAATCAAGACCAAGGTCGAGTCGCCAAACCCTAGTGATATTAGATTATTTAAGGCTCAATCAAAACTATAAATAGTGCTGTCCATGACAAGTAAAAAATCACCATGTTCAAATTTGTTCCAGCTTGTCTCCTCTAACAGCCAACTACATTATATCATGGTGCTGCCTTGTCACTCCCAGGATCAGAGAGTTGACTGATCACTCAACTGACAACCCTGCAGTTTATTCTTTAGTAGCACTGAGAATATGCTTAAGATTGTTCTGATGCTCAACCAAAAATCATTGCCAAGTTGTTTCTTTTTTAAAACTATGCTAAACTACTTGCCAATATTGAGAAGCTTAAAGAAAGCAAGAATTCTTTGTTTCTATTGACTGGAATAACCCCTGACATTCTGAAGAATGAACCACTGGTGCACTTGAATTTGGAGGATTCTTTTTTCTTAAAAGAGATGTGGACAAGAAAAATTATAGAAAAGCGAAGGGGTGGAAGAAGTGGAATGGTAAAGTAAATTGTAAACTGACATTTCAATAACCTAGGCTAACATTTGTTTTAAATGTCATTTTCCACAGAATTCAGAAAATCTTAAATTTGTAATGCTCATGAAGAAAGGAATTAACTTTAAGAACAATATGGGGCCCAAGAAATATTTTTCAATCAGTAACAAATAGAGATTATTCCATGGAAAGTGTGCACAAATGAGTTCAATTTCATTAACAAAGAAAATAAGTAAATGGGTGAGTGCAGTGAGCTAATGAGTTTTCTTCATCAATGCAACAAGTGGATAAAATTGTTCAAGAACTCTCCATGGTATGATGTTTTCATTTCAAACAAACTAAGTTTGTTTCTTACTGTCCAACAGAGATGGGAGCTAACAACTGTGAAAATACATCGTTCGTTCAGTTAGAGCCACAAATGATACTTCTAAACAGTGTAAATCCCTATTTGTATTCAAGTAAATTCCATTTCTCAATAATTCTAAAATAGAGGATTAAGATCATTTCTTAAATATTGAATACAGAGGAAGAAGAAAGGTAATACTTTGATTATTTTTGACTGTTGAAAAAGAAATTGAAATTAAATATAGATAAAATAAAAACCCCTTGAAGGTCCATTGTAGCTGTTTCCAATACATACACACACAACACATATGAGAAGACTATTTTATTTCAATTCCAACAAAAGCTGCAGTATGCAGGCATTGTAGGAAAGATAAAGATCTATGATATTACAAACAGGGATTTTAGGGTAATAGGGTTATAAATTTAGATCTTGCGAGTATAGTTGTCAGTTGGGTATCATCTCCTTGTAAGAGCCTTCAGTTATCACAATTTTTAATTGTTTTTTTCTTTTAATTTTCTCTCAAAGAAATAAAAATGTTTCAACTGCAGAGGGAGAGGCCACTCCTACAAGGAGTATGCCTCTCCCCTCTCCCTGAGGGCCATGCCCACCACATCACCTTAAATTTTTTTTTAAAATATCAAAATGAAATCAACTGTCTCTTGTTCATTTTAACTGTCATCGCAGCAGATGAATTCCCCTATAACTGCAAATCATAACTTCTAACCAACCTGAGGGCCATACAAGAGAACATTTTACTGAGGTCCTTACAAAAACAACTGATGGCCAATATTCCTCAGTAGAACTTGAGCAAGCAAAGTTAGCAAGTGATTCATTATATTGCACTTGGACTGAACTTTTTAATTTTAAGTTTGGTACCTTTCAAAACAAAAATACATGGGTTATGATCGTTTCAGTGGAAACGGTCTGCATGGAAAAGTACTGAACAAGTAAGAACCAAATCAGTGCTGGTATTTACCTCAAGACTACCTTGCCATATAGTAATGCGAATTAAAGTTAATTTTCCTAACTATGGTGGACATTCCACCACATGGGCTGATTTATGCATCGGTGCCACTGACTTGTAAAGTAGCGTTTGTATTACATTGTACTGCCCAACAGCACTCCTCAAACCAGCTATCTCAGTTTCCACAATAACTTTGTTCCTTATTGAATTGTTGAAAGCCCTAGAGAGCGAAAACATGGAACGATTACTAAAAGACAGTTCCAAGAATTAACATACAAATTAGTATCAAAGGAAAATCATTTAAATAAGGTATTTTGACATCGTCGTTAACAGTCTTTATCAATACGCGTCAGTAACAAAAAAAAGGAAGAGAGGCTAACTGACCAGAGCAACGAAAGGAATAATTTTCATACGACTCCTCGCTGACCAAGCTGCGAATTACTTTGTACTTACCTCTTCTGAATGAGTTAAAGTCAGTCGTAAAGACTTGCAAGAAAAACTTCACCCTACGAAAGGCTAGCTCAAGATCTCGAATACAAAATAGAACTTCCACGGTTATTGAAAGGAGAGAAACAAACTTCTGCGTTTCACAAAAAAATTTGATGAGAAGATGAACTAATGGCTTTACGATTGCAGGGGCATTCTGGGAAAGCTACACAATTTGAAAGATGGAGTATTGAGATAAATACAGTACAACCATTAGGAACCCTTTGCAACAACCGCACACTGATTGGAGCAATAAAGAGGTGTGACGAAGGTGTGTCCATAACCATGGTTACGAAATTGAACTTTCCAATATGGCAGAATACTGCAGGAGGGAAAATAGTTACTCGTGTATTTGCTTCGCCTGCAACTGATGGATAAACATATAATGCGGATATATTGCAACAGCATCACATGGATAAACATTTTTATCTGCGAAACGTAATTTATTGGCACCACTACGGTAAGTAAATAAAATATTCACAATTCTTTACCAAGTTTCAGTGCAAAATACAGATTTCATTACAATCCATCATTATCTTAAATTGGTTGAAACATCATGTAAGATGAAAGAGGTGAGTTGTATGTCAGCCAAACTTTTGAAACACAATTTTCCCTTCAAACAGGTATCACTAGAATTTGGAAATATAAAATGATAATAGGCATGCCTATATTTATTCATAAAAAACTACCCTTTACAAAAACATTTACTGCTATACTAAAACAATTACAATTAATAGAGAGTCTTACCAATTTTCTCTAACATACAATTGAATGTAAGATCATCAATTAACACTAATCCATTACCTAAAGGAGGAATTTGGATTCAGCGAGATAACCACATGGAATTAGGAAAGAACAATACAGTACTAAAGAGAATCTTTGAAGAATTGTTATCAGTGTAAATACAAAATGTATTAAACTTAACAATAACATAATTTTCTCTTATTTATTTTTCTTTGACTCAAATACATTTTCATGCATACATATTGAATGTTTCTAGACACTGCACCACTACTTAAACTACAGGTGTATGTCATAATACTAAAATAATCATCTGAAATCTTGTTTCCTTTTCAAGCAGACAACACTTCATGCAACAGGTAGTTTGAGTATACCATGGATATATCAAATCCTTTGTTTATTTTTCATTCTTATTGACCTAGGTGGTCAGAATCCATTGTTACATCTTAATGTAAGTTCTTACATTTGAGCATGTACCTGCCAGTATTTCCAACACCATGCTTCATTTTTGGTAAATCATTATCTTTGGCTGAAGGAGTTGAATTCACAGACAGAAGCAGATTCTGTGATATGACAGAATTTTTGAAAAATGTTGATTTAAACCAGATTGAGCAGCCATAAAATTGCAACATCCAATCCATCCAAGCCTGCTTTATAACATTAAGTCAACACCAACCCTAAAGTCACTCATGTAGTCTCATCTCAGAATGAATCTTGTAAACTTAACTCTATCCTGACATGAATCCCAGGTTCTAGAATTGACCAAATAACCAAAGGATTTTCTCAAACCTCATTAAATTTTAGATAGTGGACAATGACCATTTCTTTGTTGTGTTCCATTTGGGTCTGAATTTTCTACATGTTATAGCTTAGTGTCTTGTAAAAACATAAACATCCAAAGCCAACCTTGAAAAATCTGACATTTAAAGAATTATAAATGCTACATGTTTGTATGGTGATGAGAATGTCATTGTTCACACTACACACAGGTGTTTTCAAAATTGCTGACTGCCTGTCCCAAACTGGATTGAAATTCTTATCTGAACACCAGAAGAGAAGCACTGGAAGGCATAACTTGGCTGAATCTTAGCATTTCCCTCTTGAGTGATGTGATCTTTTTCTTTCCATGTGATAAAGTTCAATAAATGTCCCAACACTTTTAAACTTAATGATTCTACACAAGTCAATTTTAATTTGTTTTTGGCTATAAATGTTTCTCTTGTTTTCATTGATTTGTAATTGAAATAAGAAACTGCAAGAGAAGATGTGCCTAGTAAACAACCATCTTGCGGTAAAAATCTACATTTTCAATCATATTTGTGTGTCCTTGCAACACCATGACAATAGAATTAAATTTAATTTTAGACTATTAATTGAACTCAACAATCACAAGAGAAATACCAAATAGAAAACTTACCTTATGCAAAGTCATTAATTTTTTAGTTAATACTGTGGACTTTGAAGGGAATCATGGATCACATTAACAGTTGCTACTATACAACTCAGGTGGCATATCATATTATGTATTAATATCTAGACACCTAGAAGTCATAAATGCTACAAGCTTTAGATCTGTTTGTCTCCTAAATAACTTATAATTACATTAATTGAAGAGGGGTTGAAAAGAATTAGGCTACCACATTCTTTTCTGTATGATGATGGTATTATTAGTGCTTTCAATATTCAGTGTTCCTTTTTGTAAAAGTTATTAAGACTGCAAATTAAAATGTGTGTCTATCAAAAAATATCATCAGTGAAAGAACACACTTTAGGCATCTATTTGAAGCATTGTTAAAATCAATAATACATATGCGTCTTTATGGATGTCATTACCTTAGGAAATCATAAAACTAAAGATCACTGATTGTGTTTTGCATCAAATCAATATTTTACTTCAAACATACCATTTCAACACTTTCCTGAGCTAATTTACACAAAGTTATGAGCATGATGGTCACAAGCAGATATACTAGTCCTTTTGCATATTTTAGCACCAATCTGGAAACAAAGAGACAAGAATCACCATCAGTTCATACAACATTAATATTTTATACAGCATTTTGCATCAAAGAAATTTGTAATATCTTTAAATGACAAGATCTATGCACTCTGTAGATGTGTATTTAATTTTGTCAACACAAAACAAACAGAGCATTAATTATATATATCACACTTGTGTATAATGCATTCTACTAATACTCACTGAAACTGTTTGAATAAGACATGTGTGGCATTGTGTCCATTACACAAGTACCTCCAAAATTGTACTTTCAGATCATTTCAATATACATTATACTGCACATCAAAACTGTTGCTAGCACTGGAATTTAAAGACAATGTGTCAGTGACATCTACATATAATTATGTAAGTCTAAACAATGAAATTGTTGTATTAAAGGCATCATCAACTAGATAAAAAGCAGTTAATAAAATGTATGTGGTCATTTATAGTTTGCTTTTTCTGACTTTGCTCTCTGTACCAATTGTCCTGACTGGCCTTGCTTGAAGAAAAATTCATGTCTAAAGTATTGTTCAGCGTGGCACACTAGAACAAACAAAAAACTCCTTGAAGGTTCATTACAATGGTTTCCAATACATACACATATACAAAGACTATTTTATTTCCAATTACATCAAAAGTTGCAGAATGCAAGCATTGTAGAAAAGATAAAAATATATGATAATACAAATAGAGATCTTAGGTATTAGGGTTAATTAGTTAGATCTTGTAAGTATAGTTGTCAGTTGGGTAACATCTCCTTGTAAGAGCATTGTCTTATCACAACTTTTAATTTTTTTCTTTTCTTTTCTCTCAAAGAAATAAAAAAATGTTTCAACAGCAGAGAGAGAGGCCAAAGAGGAAGAGAGGGGCATGGTGGCATTGGCCTGGGCAGTGGGTGTGGTGGCCATGCCCATCATATCACCTTAAATTGCAAGCTCTGATTGGGGCAATAAAGAGGTGTGACGGAGGTGTGTCCATAACCATGGTTACGAAATTGAAATTTCCAATATGGCAGAATACTGCAGGAGGGAAAATAGTTACTCGTGTATTTGCTTCGCCTGCAACTGATGGATAAACATATAATGCGGATATATTGCAACAGCATCACATGGATAAACATTTTTATCTCCGAAACGTAATTTATTTGCACCACTACAGTAAGTTAATAAAATATTCACAATTCTTTACCGAGTATTAACTCATCCAAGCTAGGTTGCAAAATTTGAGAACTACTTCTCTTACAAATTTCCTAAAGTTAAGGAATATTGACATGTGCTGTTTCAGGAAATATTGCAGCCTTCCTATGGCAGCCAAGTTGTGAATAGTGTATACATGTATCCTAATACACAGTGCAAGAATGAAAACCAAGGGCAAGGATCTGGAGTTAGTTAGATTATCGATACATGCGACAGTTGAGCAAACGATATTTTTCCAGTTGCAGTCAATATCAATATCTGCTGAAACAACACAATTCAAACTTTTTTGAGGTTAAACAAAACAACTTTAAAGTAGAACATCAATCAAAAGTTACACAGTTCATAGGTCATGAATGAGAGCTAATGAAATAAGTACATTGGTTCTAAAACCCTTCATTTCTAGTGATAGCCAAAAACTTACTAAAATAATATGCGGTTGCTGTTGCATATGTAATCAGACTACATTGTAATAAAAATAATTAACAGACTGCTAATGCAGGACTTACTTTATGTGCTGCCTGATATGAAAACCAAAGAAACACCCAGTGGTAAAAATCGGGAATGTATTTCCCAACCAAATACAATGGCACAAACTCAAGGGGTTTGAGGTGAAATTACCAGGTAAAATTGTGATCAACGCATTTTGAGAGATTGAGTATTGAGCTAAATACAGTACAACCATTGATCCTTGTGAAAAACCTTTACAATAACTGCACAATAATTAGGGCTCCAATACATATATGTTATCACTTATTGTAACCAGTAAATATTAACAGACTTTGTATAGACATATTTTGCTAACTTTCATTTTAACAATATTGTTGTCTCAAAGTAACACTGATAAGAAGATCTCAAGTATTTCATACCACTTGATAATTTAATAACATTTATATATCATATATTGGTCTACTAATGCCTGAGTAACAGATAATGATATAACCATTTTTTAATGGGAGAAGGATGGAGGAGGGGGGGAGAGGTGGGGAGTAATTCTAGCAAAGCCTGAAAGTATCTATGTATTGTTTTTTTAAGCAAATTTCATTATGGATATTGCAGTAATCACATGCATTAAGCTATTGCTAAAGCTGACTTTCTGTGCTCATATAAAGTGACAGATGATGAAAAACTATATGGAATCAATGTTGTTAAATTTAAGAAATTTACAAAGTTTCAGTGCAAAATACAGATTTCATTACAGTCCATCAAAATCTTAAATTACTTTAAACATCAAGTAAGATGAAAGCCATGAGTTGTATGTTTTTTTCTTTTGAAACATAATTTTCCTGTCAAACAGGTATCATTAGGATTTGGAAATATAAAATGATAATAGGCATGCCTATATTTATTCATGAATAACTACCCTTTACAAAAACACTTAATACTACACTAAAACAATTAAAATTAAATTCCCAACATCCCAAAAAATGACAAAAGACAACAACCTTTTTTCTTTTGTTTTGTCAACAGCATTTGCACTAGTGAGTAGTTCTGTATCTCATGTGAAAGAGGATGAAATAAGCTTTGCGGAAAAAAATATTTTTCCTTCAAAAATCCATGTATTTTAAATCATGCTAAGAAAATGGCATAAAGTTTGCATGAATTATCATGCAACTTTTGACTTTAAAACAGCCTTGGCCTGAATGGAATGGATTTACAAGGAAACAATTCAAGATGAAATATTCCCTATCTTATGGTAAAGACATCCAGAGAATCTCGATGAAAAAGAACACACACAGAATTAATTAGCTTTTTTTTTCCAAACAGTAACCCAAAACCATAAAAATTTACCCAGATTATTGAAGAATTTTTCCTCACCAAGTATTTACACAAGGGAAGTAAGCTATACCTTACTTGAAACAGCAGTAGATAAGCTTTCCTGAAACGCATGTTTCCTCTTCAAGGAAAAAAACCACCTCAATGAATGCTTTCAAATTAGCATACCATATCATCAAAATTTGAACTTTGAATTAAGTGATACCCAAATGATATAAAGTAATGGGGCAAAAATGAACTAAAAAGGTTCCTTTTTAAATGGGCAACATCTCCATAAAAACTGGTTGGAAAATAACAAATCTGCAATGTGTTACAAAAATCTGTTGAACACTGATTGAAGTTAATAAAATGGAAATTTTTTTTCTCTCAAAGTGTGATAAATCTGCAATGTGTTACAAAAATCTGTTGAACACTGATTGAAGTTAATAAAATGGAAATTTTTTTTTCTCTCATGTAGTTTGAGTGGTGTGATAAATCTGCAATGTGTTACAAAAATCTGTTGAACACTGATTGAAGTTAATAAAATGGAATTTTTTTTTCTCTCATGTAGTTTGAGTGGTGTGTATTTACCTTCAAGAAAATGCTGGTAATAAAAATGGTGTGGGGCACCCTCATCTCACCCTTGCCAACTCTAGGCAGGCCCCACAGCTAAATAATAAAAGGCATTCATCACAACGTTTAAAGCATAAGCAATGACAAAACAAAATTTTTTTTACCCCTATTTTCTCCTATCTTGTTTTCCTATGTACATGTAAAACACAACATACACACACGGAGGGTTTCAGAGCAAACAGGAAATCAAGGTTCAAGGATTGGGAAGGTGATACTCTGCACTATGAAATACTGCAAAGCAGTTTCTCTGTTTAGCAACATGCATATACTTTCCCTCACACTGCGGCGCACTGCAGTAGGTTTGCACCTTTACCTCACCCCTACCTTCCCTGTAGCAGACCACACAGTTTCTCCTATGCTCACCCTGAAGTGGAATGTGCTCTGTCACAAATTGGCTGGTTTGGGGAGCTGGTCTTGGGGGTCTGCCTGCAGTGGACACAGGAGGGTTGTCATAATCAAGAAAACCACAAATTCCACGGATAAGCTCCTCCCTGAAGTCACCCAGCGAATACTCTGAAGTCCTTCTGAGGGCAGGATTATCTGGATTGTTCCTCTGGTGCTCTCTGAAAAGAATAAAACTGTTGACAACACCAATGTCAATAAGGTGAAAAATTAAGGTCTTCCACCACCTCATACATTTGCGTTGCACATTGTGGGTGGCCAGAATCTGGTCAGATCGATCCACTGCATTCATATACTGATTGTACATTGCAAAGACCTGAGGCTGAGGTACCTCTAATGAGCTCCACACACCACCAGATTTTATTTTACGATTTATCTGAACAGAGTCATTAGCATTACCAGAAGTACTGATCATAGATACTACTTTATTGTCAACCCACTGCAAGACTAAGCAGGGCGGATCCCTCTGCCACCGCATACTACCCCTGGCTTTGCCCTTTCCCCATTTGCTTCCTTTCTTGAGATTTGCTGGGAAATCTTTCCTGGTATCCAAAATGGTACCTGTAGCAATGACTCCATGCTGAAATAAATGCTTCATGAGATGAACTGAAGTATAAAAATTGTCAATAAACAAGTGATAACCTTGATCATAGTAGGGACTAATAAGTCTTACCACAACATCATGCCCAAGCCCAAACTCACTAATCCCTCTTGCAGCATCTTTTCCAATGTAAATGTTGAAGTCTACAGTATAACCATTAGAACTATCAGCGAGTACCCACAGTTTTATTCCCCACTTAGTTGGTTTGTCCTTCGTGTACTGCCTGATGCCAGACCTGTGACGAGACCTGACCATTCGCTCATCGATGGCCACATGTTTTCTGGGCTGATACAAAGCAACACATCTAGATTTAAAATAGTTAACAAGGGACTCTACTTTACGTAACTTGTTACTGGGGGTCTCAGATGCAGGATCTACAACATGCAAGAAGGCCATGAGCCCTTGAAATCGTATTCTGGGCATGATGGATCTTGCCCATAAACCATGGTAGAGGGTCTTGGTACTCCAATACCTGTTTATAGTAATACCTATTTTCACTAAACCAAAATAGATCAGAAGGGCTATCAACCGGTATATCTCCTCTGGTGTTGTGTCTTTCCATGATCCATCTGCTTGAGCATAACTCCTATGGGTACCCTCAGTAATGTGTTGAACAGCATAGCTGTTGGTGTGCTCAACAATATTATTCACCAGTTCTTTAGTAAAAAATAATTTAAAAAACTCAACAGCAGTATTCATCCTACCCCTGAGCAAAGGCTGTTCGAATTGTATCCCAAGAGGACGTGCAGGTGTAAAGGGAGGGGGTGGAAACTGATCACAGGGATTTCCCTCATCCTCATCATGATATGATTTATAAGTATCCTCTGAGGAAGGGTCCTCTGGGGTTGGGGGTGCACGTTTTGTGGCTCTACTACCACCACGATCACTTGTAGAACCTCGAGCTACTAAAGCACAAACTCTAGCACCTCGAACACCATGGGTACCTCGTCTGGCAGGTTCCCTTTTAGCCCTGAGAGGACAACGTGACCTTGCAGGCTTGTAAAACTTACCTGTGGCATGGGATGTGGAAGGCACTGGATCAACAGAAACACCAACATCAGTGTCTTCACTCTCCATCTCACCCTCACTCTCAATCTCACTAACCTCTGAAACTTCTCCTTCAATCCAATCAGGATCTTCTTCATGCTCCCTAACCTCTCCCACGTCTCCTTCCGATTCACTGAAGAGATGAAATAATAAAAAAAAACCGATTCACTGAAGAGATGAAATAGTAAATTTCTTTGTTGGATTTCTGAAATTTTGCCTTGAAACAAGGATAAATAGAGATAATCAACCTCAAAATAATAAAGCACAACACATATCAAAAGCCTTTCACTTGTAATGCACCACCAGTATTTTCCAAGAGTAAAACAATTCAGAAGTGAAACCCGAAACTGTCATTTTACATCATTCCACTAAAAACATTTTCACAACGCATATTTTTTTGCATAATTTGTCTGTTTTGTGAATTTCAGCATGTAACAAGTAGAACCACCTCTAAAACAAAACACACAAAACATATGAGTTAACATAGAGGTCCATACATATATATACAATAATCGTTTTCAAATAAAGGATTTGATTGCGCACTGCGTCATTCGATCTGTGATCAGCTTATAATTTAGCGCGTTGCGTTCTAAAATTCCATTGAAAATTATTTACTCTGTCGCTTTAAAATCATGTTTGATCACAGTGCATATTGCTTTACATTCACAAATATACATCTATAGGTTTGTCTTAAGGCAAAGAAACAAGGATTCGAGCGCGAAAAGTAAAAGTAAGTGTGGTTTTACACCGTTTCAAGACCACATGCTTTACCTATTTGAATATCGCAAGAATGTTTACTGATTACTTACCTCGATTCTTCGCTAAGATTTTCCAGTTTTCTGTCTAATTCGGACTCCTCACCACTAGACATACCACCATGCTCACTTCCATCGTCAAAAATCATCTCTGAAGCCTCGGCTACGCTGTATTTCTGACGCTTCGCATCGGATGCCATCTTCACACGTTGAAATCGTATGGAACTAATTTTCGGAAGGGGCTGTTAAGGTCACGTTTGATAGTTCGGAGCTAAAACTCCCCATGTGATTGGCTTAGAATGTCTACATGCTACAGTCGGAATTTCAGAACGATCGGACGTAAAACGAGCATTTTCGAAAGGTTAACGGAGTCGTACAATTTTGTACGATCGGCCCAAGGGTTGTTGGGAATGATTTTTGTTGCTGGGAAACAATTTAATGTAAGATCATCAATTAACGCTGATCCATTGCCTAACACAGGAATTTGGATTTGGTGAGATAATCAAATGGAATTAGAAAAAGAAAAATACAGCACTAAAGATAGTCTTTGAGGAATCGTTATCAGGGTAAATAAAAAATGTATAAACCTTAATAGTTACATAATTTTTTCGCCTTTTTTTTCATAACTCAAATACATTTTCATGCATATATTGAATGTTTCTGGACACTGCACCACTACTTGAACTACAGGTGTATGTTATACTACTAATACATTATCGTCTGACATCTTGTTTGTTTGTTTGTTTTTTCTTTTTCTTTCTCCTTTTTTTCTTTTTCTTTTTTGTTGTTGCAGCAAGTAGTGTGAGTATACTATGGAAAAATGAAATTATCAAATTCCTTTTTTTTTTTTTTTTTTTTCATTCCTAATGATGTGGGTTGTCAGAATCCATTCCAAAGTGTCTTGTTGCATCTTTACTTAAGTTCGTACATTTGAGCATGTACCTGCCAGTATTGCCAACACCATGCTTCATTTTTGTGAAATCGTTGTCTTTGGCTGGAGGAGTTTAATTCACAGACAGAAGCAGATTCTATGATATGACAGAAGTTTTGAAAAATGTTGATTTAAACCAGATTGAGCAGACAGAAAATTTGCAACATCCGATGCATACAAGCCTACTTTATAGCATTAGGTCAACACCAACCCTAAAGTCACTCATGTAGTCTCAGCTCAGTATGAATCTCTATCCTGACATGAACCCGAGATTGTAGAATTGACCAAATAAACAAAGGATTTTCTCAAACCCCATAAAATTTCAGATTGCGGACATTGACCATTTGTTTATTGTGTTCCGTTTGGGTCTGAATTTTCTTGATGTTATAGCCATATCTTGTAAAAAACATAAACATCCAAAGCCAACCTCGAAAAATCTGACATCTGAAACTTCTCCTTCAATTATAAATGTTACATGTATGATTCACTGAAGGAGAAATGTCATTGTTCACACTGCACACAGGCATTTTCTTGAAACAAATAACTGACTGCCAGTCCCAAACTAGATTAAAGTTCTCAACACCAGGAGAAAACAATTCTGAAAGGCGATAACTTGGTATTAATGTTAATATTTTTTTGCATTTGTCTGATCTAATCTACGTGTGAAATAGAAGATAATAAAAATAAACACACACAAAAACATAAATAACTATAGGGATCTTTACTATCCCTCTGTTCTGTAAAGGATTTGATTGCGCACGTTCATTCGATCTGTGATCAAATGATAATTTAGCGCGTTGTTTAAATTCCATTGAAAATTATTTACTCTGTCGCTTTAAAATCACGTTTGAAACAATACATATTCATTTTCACAAATACACATTATTTGCAAAGAAACAATTTTAGAAGCGTCGAAAAGTAAAAGTAAGTGTAGTTTTACACGTTTCAAGACCACATGCGTTCTATTTGAATAAAGAATATTTACTGGATTCGATTTCGGATCAGTTTTCTATCTAATTCGGCTGCCTCACTAGACATACCACCATGGACTTCCAATCAAAAATCACTTGAATTTATGTGTATTTTTCTCGCTGCCATCTTCCCACGTTTCATAATTTTAGGAGTGACAACGTCACGTCTAATAGTTAAATAAAATAATGTAATTTTTAAACATTGTCATGCTACAGTCGGAATTTCAGAACGATCGGACGTAAAACGAGCATTTTCGAAAGGTTAACGGAGTCCCAATTTTTACGATCGGCCCAAGGGTTGTTGGGAATGATTTTTGTTGCTGGGAAACAATTTAATGTAAGATCATCAATTAACGCTGATCATTGCCTAACACAGGAATTTGGATTTGGTGAGATAATCAAATGGAATTAGAAAAAGAACAATACAGCACTAAAGATAGTCTTTGAGGAATCGTTATCAGGGTAAATAAACATTGTATTAAACTTAATAATTACATAATTTTTTCGCCTTTTTTTTCATAACTCAAATACATTTTCATGCATATATTGAATGTTTCTGGACACTGCACCACTACTTGAACTACAGGTGTATGTTATACTACTAATATATTATCATCTGACATCTTGTTTGTTTGTTTGTTTGTTTTCTCTTTTTTTTCTCTTTTTTTGTTGTTGCAGCAAGTAGTGTGAGTATACTATGGAAAAATGAAATTATCAAATTCCTTTTTTTTTTTTTTTTTTTCATTCCTAATGATGTGGGTTGTCAGAATCCATTCCAAAGTGTCTTGTTGCATCTTTACTTAAGTTCGTACATTTGAGCATGTACCTGCCAGTATTGCCAACACCATGATTCATTTTTGTGAAATCGTTGTCTTTGGCTGGAGGAGTTTAATTCACAGACAGAAGCAGATTCTATGATATGACAGAAGTTTTGAAAAATGTTGATTTAAACCAGATTGAGCAGACAGAAAATTGCAACATCCGATGCATACAAGCCTACTTTATAGCATTAGGTCAACACCAAGTAAAGTCACTCATGTACTTTCTCGTTTTCAGTATGAATCTCTATCCTGACATATTCTTGTAGTGACCAAATTCCAGAGCTGTCTCAGACCCGTAAAATTTCAGGACATTGACCATTTGTTTATTGTGTTCCGTTTGGGTCTGAATTTTCTTGATGTTATAGCCATATCTTGTAAAAAAATTTCATCAAACCTGAAAAACTCCTGAAGTGTTGACTCACATGTATGATGTGAAATGAAAACCGTAGGTAGAGGAAGAAAGTTAAATGGATATACACTAAAAAGTATTGTACATAGCGTAAAAGCTAACGGTAAGCTTTTCTGTCAGGTACAATACTATCTTGTTGTCGATCGTAAGTCTGATCGTTTGGTAGAAACACACATAGTAAGTCTTTTCCTGGTACACCAGGAAAAGACTTACTATGTTAAAGAAAAGATAAATTGTTCTTAGTCGTTTAAGATTTCTTCCTCGGAAACTAGTTATGAAGCAGGAAGGAACTCTTTTGTCAGCCCTTACAGAGTATATGGCTGGCTCTTAATCTAACAGCAGGAGACTAAAATTAACTTAAATCGCATCACCCACGAATAAGCGCCCGCGCATTTCGAAACATGGCAGATCTTTTTTTTAATCTTATCTTTTCTCTTATTTATATATTTTATATCTTAATCCATGTACGGCAATAGATGACTGCAAGAATTGCATATTCATAGGAATCTTTTTTTTTCAAATTAGGATTTGATAAATCTTGACTCGTTTGCATCCTACTAAGTAAGGTGAACTCATTGTTTATGCTTTGCTTCAATTCCCAACACCAAGCAACGACTCAATATGTTATTGGAATGATATACATAGAAACTCTTGGAAAGCCTGCCCGATAAAGCTGTTTGACACTCACACTCTAGGCCTTTTTTTTAATGGTGAATAACTTGATTAAAGAGGATCTGAACAATAATTTGCTTAAAATTGTGCTTCATGATCAATGTATATTGTAGCTCTAAACGCTTTGCATATTCATCTACAGGCGAATGTAATACCTGCGTTAGTGTTTGTGATGTGAACGCTGACTGGGAAAACACTCTGGGATCGTATCGCTGCTCTTGCAGAGCCGGTTTTTCTGGAGATGGACATACCTGCAAAGGTAAGAAAAAAATTTTATCAGAAAACGTACAGTTCTCATAAAGCAATTGTCGTTGCAAGGTGTTATTTCTCTGAGCTTTCTTCGACCATTACTTCTTTAGATCTGAAATTATTTGCGTCAAAAATTTATTCTTTGATTAAATGTAAAAGTTCGGTGCGAATGTTCTGAAATCTTCGAATTGTTTTCTTTCGATTAGATATTCTTTAATTTTATCCTATTGCAAAGAGTTTATTATGTGTATCAGGGACATGGCGGGACTTTCATGATAAACCCTAGACATCTTATACTTTAATTTCCAAATGTTGACCCTATTCTCGATAGTGTTTGTTAAGTGTGTAGCTCTCTCGGTTCATTGTTCAATTGAAGGTGATAAAATACTGGGAAAAAGAAAAACAACTATGTCAAGACAAAGACCGCAGTATTTGCGTAGAAAGCAGAAAAAGTAACTTGGCTTTAGAACTAGTACTTAAAAGAACAATAATTGAAATCCAAAAAAGGTTAACTGGTACTTATGTGGGTACTTGTTTTAACTCGTACTTGTACGTCGAGACTGACATTAGTGATGTTGGAAATCAAACTCAGATAGTTTTGTGGACAGCAGGTTCTGAAATTAGTTTTCTCTTTCTCAGAAATAGCGCATGAAAAGAAGAACTCTAGAAAAACTAAATGTACAACTAGGATATTTAACTAACAAACAAATAATATGGCCGACAATGGCCATCTAGCAGCAACGCATAACAAGTCTATGTAATACCCACTTAAAAAAATGCGAAAATAAATGGCAGATACTGAACATACACCTTCAAAGGTAAAGTCATCCCACACCTGTTTAGGATTTGAAGAGCAGTTGTATGAGCCCTGATTATTTATGCAAATGAAATTTGGATGGCATTCGTTCCTTTTAATAGCATGAGCTTCTCTGTATTTGTTACTGTCTGAAAAAATAACATGCAAACTACATCAAGATTAAAATGAAACGACTGTCAATTCAAGATAAAGGGAAATAAACGTCACAAGTTCAGTACTCGCAATCTTATGACACAAATGTTAAAAATAAGTATAAAAAAGACAAGATTTTCCGTCAGGAAAATCCCACATCAACGAGAACGTGAAACGATCGGCCGTCCATTCATTCTAATAGGAAGATAAAACAAAAAATCAGTGAACTCCAGACCCTTATCATGGAGCACAATATTACATTTAAGGCTAAATGTTTGTACTTTGTTGCAAAGAAATTCGCTACATTTCTGCTGGTAGTCAATACGAATTAAGTCACTGATTATACGCGTTTTGTTTGAAAAATGCA